TCCAAACCCAGTCAGCGAGGGACCTGCGGAGGAGTTTACCTTTAAGAACACAAAAGGTCTGTGCTGTATAGTTTCCTGTGCTGAGATCAAAAACATATTTTATAATGTATATTTTAGATTTACAGCTCCAGCCAGAACCTTCCTTCATCCCAGCCCACTCACCAGATGTCCAATAAGTCATGAAACTCAAGCTTAGTTTTATTTTGGTTCTTTACAAAGAGCGAGTTGCAGGTGAGCAGAAATGCAGCCAAGAGTTTGGGATGAAAGAGAGTTTATGTCTAAGACCAGTGCGACGAAGATGAGGACCAGTTAGAAGAGTCCTCTTTCATACCTAAACACTCACGAATCACGATGGGCTCAGGTTAAAGGACACAATGACTTCTTAGCCTGAAAAAAAAAAACCCATTTGTCTCCTGCTTTACTGGTTTTCCACAGGAGTGTGTCTTTGGCTTTCCTCACAGGAAAAATCATCAAGATTTGTTTAGACTCTCCATCCTTCGGAATAAACATATTTGTCATATTTTATACTCAAGCTCCACTCAACTTCCCCTTCAAAGCTGAACTTTAATATTGAGGAAATTTCAGCTTTAATTAGTCTGATTTAGCAAAAGGAAAACCGCAAGGAAAGATGTAACTAGAAGAAATCCCGAGGATCTGATGAATTATGCATTAAAGCTGAGAGAAAAGATGCAGGATCATTTTTGATCGTTTAGGATCATTTACAGAAATATTTAATGCCACCAAGCAAAGGTGAAATATAATAACTTTGCTTGTGTCTGCGCATGTGTGTGTTTGTTTGTAAAACATCTTATTAACCAGTGGGTGAACTTTAATTAACCTTTATGAAATCCTTTCAAAAATACAACTTATTAACTCTGTTCTCAAAAATCAAGATGGCCGCGGTCACCTGACTTATGGCCCGGATCGCACGGCAAAATACTTATGCAGAATTTTTTATCTGATCTCTCTGACAACCTTAATAATTCTAAAGATAATCATACCAGATATTCCTGCCATGTGTGGTGTGTTAAGAGTGCTCTTATCTCATAAGCACTTTGGGATTGTTCCGATCACAAATCTAGAACATTCAACATGTTGGATAACTGATAGTAATTCACACAACACGGACTCTGAGCACTTACAGACAGCAGGATAAAACAGTGATAATTTCATCAATTCTCATCATATTAAGTTAGAGGATTAATGTCAAGGAATCTTGGGTCTTTACTTCAGGTCTGATATCTGTAAATTATTCTAAATATGCTCAGTATCTTCCTTTTCAACTCAAAGGTTAGAGATTTAGTCGTTTTTGTGAAACTAGAATACATTCTGTCACTCTGACTTTCTTTATTTCCTAGAAAATGATATGGAAAGGACTCAAGTTTTGGATTTATGAGCGACGGTCTTGAAATCTGTATCTCTGTATTGTGTAAAATGTCTTCATGAATTCATGGAAGAGGGACGGAAAAAGGAAAGTGGTCATTGTTACATAGTGATGCATCAGACACAGAGATTAACCTTTTGAATGTCATAACTTCTTTTCCTGGCCAGTTCAAAGCTCTTAACGGTTTCCAGAAGCTCTTTGCAGAACAAACCCAGGTGCACCACATGTCAGCAGGTACTGGTTTCATTGTGGAGGTCATTTTTCACTGGTTTGCATGTGCAGGAGCCTAACAATCAGAGACAAAGATGACAAAATGCTTGTGCTGGGCCAAGAGGGCACTCATTTCTGAAAGCCTTCAGCAGCAGATTAACATGTAAATCCTGCTCAGTGATGTTTGCAGGCTGTTTTAGAATAAGTTGTTTATCATTGTGTACTTGAGAAAAAACATGATGAAGGTCCAGAAACATCATCTGTAAAACGTTTCAGTGTTTAGTAACATCATGGCTTTAATGAACTGTTCCAGTTTCCAGGATTGAAACAGAGATCAGTACACACCGCAGGCTTTCTGTCAGATTTCAGTCATCTGTTTCATCACAAACTGATCTGAGGACAGTTTCCCACATGAAGAGTCTTGTTTATGTTTATTTATTTGGCAGACACTTTTATCTATTATTTATTTATTTATTATTATTATTACATCTGCAGGAAAGCATGAAAAGTAAGAAAAGAAATGAATCTGTGTTTTGATTATGTTACACTCCGAGGAATCTGAAGGATGCCACCGTCTCCCCCCAGGAGCCACTCACGTAGAGGAACCTGTGCTCAGGTTGTGATATTTGAAAGACGACGTTCGTCCTCTTTGCTTTTCTAAACTGAGCACCGGATTGTTGTTCTTGCACCAGCTCACAACATGATCAGCCACTGTCCTTTATAGTGATTCTCCATTATCTTGTATGATTTCCACTATTGTGGTGTCATCTGCAAACATGATGACTCCAACAGTCATGGGTTAGCCATAAAAACAGCAGAGAACCGAGTACACCACTGTCAAAGCTTCCTAGTGGCTCTTTGTTATGAACAAGTAATAATCATCAGAGTTTTGGGATCATAGGGTTACCAGTAGGGCTGTACTGCAACAAAAAATGTTTAATCTCAGTATTTAACATTTTTAACGCAAAAGCATCACAGCAAAACATTAGAGACTCTAATGGGAATACACTGCCTAAAATGTTCACAGTTGATTTAGACGGAGGAGTGAGGGGAATGTGAGTTTATCTCAGTTAAAATCATGTTTGCACCAAGAAAACAACATGGCAACTACTGATGTCATACAGCCCTACTTTCTAGTATGGAGAGATTGTGGCAGAGGAGCTAAGTGCCTGGCCTGTAACCAGAGGGTTGCAGGTTCGCATCCCGTTCAGTCTGCTGCAGTCATAACATCTTTGGGCAAGACACTTAACCCAGCTGGTGGTGGTCTGAGGGACCTATGCACATCAGCCTTGCCTCTGTCAGTGTGTCCCAGATTAGAAATAGCTACAATGTGGCCAACTACCACCAGTGTGTGAATGTGTGCATGAATGGATGAATAATTCACCGTAGCACAAGCGCAGGTCATTCTCATGAAGAGAAACTAATTATGTGATTTTTTATTGGTTACAATCTTTATTTTTGTGTTCAGTCCTCATTTGATGTTGCTGTGACAAGTTTAATTGTCCCTTTTCCTTTGATGTATCGAGGGGTAAAACGCCACAACTATGTACTAACCTGTTTTTTCATCTATGTACATTTTTAACAATATAACAATAATAAATAAACAGTCCCAAGGTAGCTGTAGATTCTCCACCAGAGGGAGGTCAACAAGTGTAGGATGAAAATGGTGGTCTATAGGTGAAAGTACTAATACTAATACTAATACTAATACTCCATCTGGATGCTTCATGACGAGAAATGGCTTGATGGGAGATTTCAATTTAAGTCTACAAGTGGTTGAATTAGCACAGCATCAGTTTTATACATGAATAAAGTATGCCATGTGTTTCCTAGCTTGTAGTGCTTTTGCTTTTGCTTGGCTTAAGGTATTTTTTGCATTAGCAAAATTTGTCATTTCTTGTAAACCCCCCCCCCCCCCCCCCAAAAAAAAAGCCTATGAATTCCAAAAGAAGAAGAAAATAGTTCTATAGAGTGCCTCACGAGAATAAAAAATGTAAATAAATTGTATATGTATATATATATATACATATATACACACACACACACACACACACATATATACTTACATATATATATATATATATATATACACATAAATATATATACACACATATACACACACACACACACATATATATAGATATATACATACACACACACACACACACACACACATATATGTATATATATATATATATATATATATATATATATATATATATATATATATATATATATATATATATATATATATATATACTGTCATGGTGTGAAGGGTGGAGATGGCGGACCATGTGTGGTGGAGAGTTCCAGGAGGAAGGGAATGCAGGCACGGATAAAGTAAAAATGGGTTTAATGACAGGATACGGCAGGAACGAGGACAACACGACAAACAACAATGATCTGACAAAGACTGGCACAAGGAGGGAGGCATAAATATACAGGGAAATCAGGAACACATGGGCAGGTTAATGAGGGGCAGGTGAGAACAATAAGGGCTAATCAGGGCAGGAGAGAGACAGTCAGGAAGGCAGGGGCAGAACGTGACATATACAGTACAGGCCAAAAGTTTGGACATACCTTCTCATTCAATGTGTTTTCTTTATTTTCATGACCATTTACGGTGGTAGATTCTCACTGAAGGCATCAAAACTATGAATGAACACATGAGGAGTTATGTACTTAACCCAAAAAGGTGAAATAACTTAAAACATGTTTGACATTCTATTTTCTTCTAAATAGCCACCCTTTGCTCTGATTACTGCTTTGTACACTCTTGGCATTCTGTTGATGAGCTTCAAGAGGTAGTCACCTGAGATGGTTTTCCGACAGTCTTGAAGGAGTTCCCAGAGGTGTTTAGCACTTGTTGTCCTCTTGGTAAATGGTAATGGTCATGAAAATAAAGAAAGCACATTGAATGAGACGGTGTGTCCAAACGTTTGGCCTGTACTGTATGTGTAAGTCATATTAAAAGTTGGGGAAACACGAGATATTTACAATATAAATGTGAAGGAAGCAAAGAATGAATAAGAAAAGGTAAAGACGGGATCCTGAGAAAGATAACTGGTAGAAACAGCATCATGAAGAGAAGATAGTGAGGAAGAATCAACAGAAGGTCACACTAAAACCAGCCTGAACAGGTGAGTTTTCAGCTGCTTTTTAAAGAAGACCACTGAGTCCACTGATCTCAGGCTCAGGGGGAGAGAGGTCCAGAGTCTGGGGGACACAGCAGCAAATGATCTGTCTGTTCTCGTGTGTTTTAGCTGATTGAGTTTAATTGTAACTCAAGTTCACATCTCTTTAGCCATTTACTTAAAAAGTCATACAAATATTTCTGTTATAAGCAAATGCTGAACGAATCCAAAATAATATTTGTCTGATCTGACTTTTTCGCTGGTGCTTTTAGGTCCTTCATCCTAACTAAGACTGGCTGTATCCAACAATCCAGACAGATTTTTATCATCCGTTTCCGCATCTCACATCTAGCATGGGCACACTTCGTCTTCCAGCCTGTCTGCTTCTGATCGCTATGATTAGTTCCTCAAATGCTGGACTCATCAAAAAAGTCTTACGACATCGGCGACAGACCCTGCTTCCTCCTAGTGAACATAACGTCACCTTCCCCAGTGCAGGACATCCTGTGGTTTTCAGCCATGTATACACCATCAACGTTCCTACCAGTTCCCTGTGCTCGGTGGACCTGGAATCCCCAGACAGCAGCCATCTCCATCCTAAAGACATCAACTCAGATCACCACGTCACTGAACACACACTCGATGAGGACAACCAGATCGTCTTCACACACCGTATTAACATACCTCGACAGGCCTGTGGTTGTAATGATGACTTGGCCATTGTCAAGGACCTCATGAGCCGGCTGGAGATGCTTGAAGGAGAAGTTTCAGCTTTGAGGGATCAGTGTAGCGGTGGAGGGGTCTGCTGCAGTCCTGAAACTACAGGTAGGCTGCATTTATTTGTCATAGTTGCAGGTTGCAGTGTGCATGGTAATGTAAGACTGAAAAGTATAAAGTGTGGCTTTCATAGGCTTCATGTCTTTAAAATGCTTTGGTGTTTGATGTGGGAACGTAAATGTACAAACACATTGTTGGGCCAAACTGATGCAATCCTCCATGAAAACTAAGATTCTTGTTCTTTCATTATTCGTAGGTGAGTTTGGAACAAAACCTTACTGTAGTGGCCATGGAAACTACAATGCTGAAACCCATGGGTGTACATGTGATCCTGGCTGGAAGGGACCCAACTGCGCAGAGCCCGAGTGTCCTGCTAGCTGCCAGGACCACAGCCACTGCGTGAATGGAAAATGTGAGTGCTTCAAGGGCTTCGGCGGGGATGACTGTTCAATAGAGCTCTGCCTGGTGGACTGTGGAGCGCACGGCCTCTGCGTGGGCGGTGTTTGCAACTGTTCGGATGGTTTCTTTGGCGAGGACTGCTCTCAGACTCGGTGCTTGAACAACTGCCTGGGCCGTGGTTCCTGTGTGGATGGAGACTGTGTGTGTAACGTGCCTTGGACTGGCTTTGACTGCTCTGAACTCATCTGCCCCAAAGACTGCTACGACCGCGGGCGCTGCGTGAACGGTACCTGCTACTGTGACGAGGGCTTCACTGGAGAGGACTGTGGAGAGCGCTCTTGTCCCAAGAACTGCACCGGCAACGGTCTCTGTGTTGATGGTGGATGCATTTGCTCTGCAGGATACAGTGGTGAAGACTGCTCTCAACTCACCTGCCTGAATGACTGCAGTGGCAGAGGCACATGCTTCAATGGAATGTGCATCTGCGACTCCGGCTATCAAGGGGAAGACTGCAGCCAGTTGGCGTGTCTGAATAACTGCAACAGTAGAGGCCAGTGCATCAATGGACAGTGTTCATGTGACGTCGGTTTCCAGGGGGATGACTGTTCCGAGCTTTCCTGTCCCAACAGCTGCTTGATGAGGGGACGTTGTGGAAATGGCCAGTGTGTCTGTGATGAGGGTTTTACTGGGGAAGACTGCAGCATCCGCCTCTGCCCCTCAAACTGCTACACTCAAGGGGAGTGTATTAACGGACGTTGTGAGTGCCACGCAGGCTTTGCTGGCGAGGACTGCAGTGAACTGAGCTGCCCTAACAACTGCAGCAATCAGGGCCACTGCATCAGTGGCCAGTGTGTTTGTGACGAAGGTTTCAGTGGTGAAAACTGCAGTCAGAAAGCTTGTCCAAACGACTGTCTGGCACAGGGTCACTGTTACAACGGCAAATGCATCTGTCAGGAAGGGTTCACTGGAGAGGACTGCTCTGTGCTTGCATGTCTGGATAACTGCAACCTCAGGGGGCGCTGCATCAACGGAACGTGCACGTGCGATAGTGGATATGAGGGAGAAAGCTGTGCAGACCGGAGCTGCATCAACAACTGCCAGGACAAAGGTCGCTGCGTGAACGGTCAGTGCGCCTGTGACGAGGGATACATCGGGGAGGACTGCTCAGGAGGTAGGAGGAGTTCAGTGCAAACATAAACTTTCGGGCATTTTAGTTTCTGAACGTTTCCATCTGTTAACCTGAAACACTATAAAAGCTAAAGTGATGTGATTTCCTTCCATTCTCAAAGTTCTCTCACCACTCATCCTGGGAGAAACTATTTTGGTGGAAGTAAAAAAAGGATTTTGGTTTCTGCGCTGCTCTCGGTCTGTGCTTTTCTGGCTGTGGTTCATACCACAGCCAGATGTGTCTATGGAGTCTGCATTTGCTCTACATGGTGGACGAGAAAACATCCTTTCTTCTTTACATTCATTTCCCAGTTTCTCCTGCAAAGGACTTAAAGGTTGGAGAGGTCAACGCCAGCACGGTGAACCTGTCCTGGTACAACGATATGCTGGTCACAGAGTATCTCATCACGTATGTCCCCACCAGTCCTGGGGGTCTTCTCATGGACTTTACTGTGCCTGGAGACAAAACCGCCGCCACCGTTAAAGAGCTTGAACCTGGCATTGAGTACCTGATCAGTGTCTACGCTGTCCTGAGCAACAAGAGGAGCATCCCTGTCAGTGCAAGAGTGGCCACAGGTACCCAACAGTCATTTCTGTGTTCCGACTCAAAACTCTAACCCTTAAACCCAAACCGTCAAACAAACATTAATGACGTTTGTGTTTGCAGACCTCCCGCAGCCAGAAGGCTTAAGGTTTAAATCAGTGAGAGAGACCTCTGTAAAGGTTATGTGGGACCAGCTGGACATCTCTTTCGACGCCTGGGAGATCCATTTCCGCAACACGGTTAGTCTGCCTGTCTCTTTTTGAAGACTGTGACTCCATTTATTAAACATCAAAGAAGACTTAGTTTCAATAAATTATGCTAGCTTTTTGGAAACTTCAGTAAAACACGGATTTTCTTCAGCACTAACCATTAAATTAGCTTTGACATGAAAACAACCCTGTCTGAGGGAAAACTGGGATGTCAGAGCTGAGGCGAAATTCTCTACCAGGTTATTTGAGGCTTTGAAATGAATCGACTGTGCCTGCTGATAAGTCAGAAGCTTCTATTTTTCCAGCCTCAGTCGACTTTCAACTCAACTTTAAACACGCTGCCCTTTTAATGACCTTTAAGTTTCTATTGCTGCCCATTCATGAGGCGCATACAAACATTTTCATCATGAATGGAAATGCTTTCGAGCCTAACCTGAGTTGGTGTGTGTTTGTGTGTGTGTGTGTGTGTGTGTGTGTGTGTGTGTGTGTGTGTGTGTGTGTGTGTGTGTGTGCCAGTAGCAAATCTGATGCAGCTGAACACAAGTATAAAAAGGTTTATCTTAAAAAGGCCACAGTGCCACACCTTTCCATTAATGCCATCAATTATTGTAATCTACAAAATTTACACAAAGGAGTTGGAGCTCTTCCTGATAAGCAAAATTAAACGAAGCACTGACCTTAACTTTATATAACAGTGACAGGTACAGTTGCTTCTCCATTTGTTTTTGTCATTTTTTTAATATTAAAGGTCAACTTCACTGAAAAACCACTTTTTTAATGAACATTTGATTATAATTGGGCACCCTGAGTTTTTCACGCAGGCTTAACATGAAATAGTCTCCTATAGTGATGTGTCGGTCGCGAACGAACCGGCTCTAAGAGCCGGCTCTTTGAAGTGAACGACGGGAGCCGGCTCGTCATTGGGAGCCGCCCCCTCCCCTCCCCCCTCCCCCTTTGCTTTGATGAAAGCTACAGGCGATTGGTCAACATGTGTAACTGCATGTCCAGACTGTCCACACACAGTAGGGACGGGGAAGAGGGAGGATCAGACTCAGACACACAGCAGAGCACAAGCGGGTGGAGGGAGACGAGAGGGAATGAGGAGGAGGAAAAAGGCGAGAGAGGGAGAGAGAGAGAGAGAGAGAGGAGAGTGCGACGAAGACGGTGAGAAAATTAGCGCCAGCAGTTGGAAAGTGGAGATTTCTTAAAGTGTTCAGTTATTAAATCCATAGAAATGACAAATATTTGATATATTGCTTTTTTTTACATTAGAAAATCATTTAACATATAGTTTTGCATTATTTTGGTTATAAATGTACTCTACGCAACTGAAAATCTGAGGAGCCACTTGGGAGCCGAAAGAGCCGGCTCTTTTTGGTGAGCTGAGCCAAAAGAACCGGCTCTCTAAAAAGAGCCGGAATTCCCATCACTAGTCTCCTACCCCAATTTCCTGCATTAGCTCCTGATAGAATATAGAACTCTCAGTTCAGAAAAGCCTGACAGATCCATGTCACTTAACATTCATAGACTCACCCATCTTGACTCACGGTGGGGAAGGCTGTTGTAGGTTTAGCGTCCAGGAAACAGCAGAGAACGTCTTGACTAGTAGAAGCTAATTGTTAGCTTTAGCAACTCCACCACACAGCAGAACTCCTCCAGGCTTGTGTTATTTGTGGAGATAAAACATCAACATTGCAGAACAAACAGAGTCAGCGGTAGAGTCGCGTTGCTATTAGCCAATCAGAGGTGAGATGTCCAAATATCAGGAAATGAGTCTCTAAATCCTGTCGTCTTCTGCCACTTTCTCCTCCTACTGACTTCTACGTCTTCAAACAGGAACCACTCACAAGGAAAGTATTCTCACTAAAGACAGCTGCAAATGTAATAAATATGAGTAAGCTTAAGCATTAAGGCAAATCTTTTTCTTCTAATGAAATCTGGGTCACAACTGGGATGCTGTAATCACATCCCACTGTGACAGTTAGTGCATACTGGGCCTACATTGGTTCAGGTTGATAGTCTTGTTTTTTAAGCTGTCTCACACAACCCATTACGGATCTCAGTGAAGGCGAGATGAGGACACCAATAATGAAATCAAGGAACAAAAATGCATGAAAATATTTCCAAGAGTTGTCAAAGTTAAGCCAAACTCTTTCAACAGGCTTTGGACTGAAGTGAGTCCATTTGTTTGACTTTAGAATAAAGTCAAGACAGTCACCAAGCTGGCATGCTGTAGGTTCCTTTGCTGTTAGTGCTGGAAGAAGAGGTGTGACCAAGTCACTGCTTTGCAAGTCACAAGTAAATCACAAGTCTTTTCAGTCAAGTCTTGAGTCAAGTCCAAGCCAAAGACAACCAAGTCCAAGTTGAGTCGAAGTCCTTAACTTTGAATTTTCAATCAATCAATCAATCAAAGCTTTATTTATAAAGCGCCTTCCGCAACCCTGTCAGGAAGCCCAAGGCGCTGTTCAAGTCATAATCAAGTCATCTGTCCAACTTCAATTTAATGACAATAATGATAAATAAATTCCAGAAATAAAGCTTCTTAAAGCTTCATTTATTTTGCTCAAACAAGCAGAAAGTGCAACTGAAATTATTTATAAACAAAGTGCTGCTGCAGTTAGCAGTAAATCAAACCCAGAACCAAGAATGATTTATGAATTTTGTCCTTTTGTCGTGCCACTTTGGGCTAAAATATCAAAGATGCTCAAGTCATTATCAAGTCAACAGATGCAAGTCGATTCAAGTTGCAAGTCATTGGCTTTCAAGTCAGAGTCAAGTCGTAAGTCTTTATAGATTTTATCAAGTCAAGTCAGAAGTCATTAAAATTATGACTCGAGTCTGACCCAAGTCCGAGTCATGTGACTTGAGTCCACACCTCTGGCTGGAAGCACCAAATGCATCACAAAGTTAGTATGAAGTCCGACTATTAACTAGTCTGTTTGATCAAACTTAAAGCATGAGTGGCACAAACGTGTTCCCGTGCAGGTGCTTTCTTCTTATCGGTTGCTTCAGATGATGAACATCTGAATTCTCCTTATCTGAGCTTATTTACGTCTTTGGCTACCTTTCGTATGTCATGAGAACAAATCTGTTCTATTTAGGAAATTATCCCAGCTCCTATGCAATCCACCCAAAATCCAACAAGGACCTTTTAAATTCTTCTCTGAAGCTTCATCCAGCCGAAAGGATGCAGCTCAGACTGACGTCCTGTCTCTAAAGTCCAATCCTAGGACTTCATTCCCTCTGGTCGTTTGCTGAATCCTATTTTGATGAATACAAATCTTTAAAAATAAACTCGGCTGAGTAATTTGTTGTCCTTTGTGAATATATGATAGGCTTTACATCTGTTTCTTTTTTTCTGTCTCTACAGAAAGAAGAAAACGGAAAAGTCGTGAGCACAGTTCCATCGTCTCAAAACCACTTCCTTCAGTCTGGGCTTGGACCAGGACAGGAGTACGAGGTGTCCCTCAACGTCCTCAAGAACAACATCAAAGGACCCCAAACATCTACAACGGTCACTACCAGTGAGTTTCGTTCATCACGAAAGCAAATACGGATATTTAATCGCCATTTGTTATTTTCAAAGCTTACGAATATTTTGAAGCAGTTTATCTTTTTGCCTTTTTGCACCTAATAAAAGTGTAATAAACCTCTTAGAAATAAAATGTGAAACTGTCACAGAGCGAAAGTCCATATTGAAGTGGAGAGTTGTAGCAGGAAATCCCCGCTGGCTTTGATTACTTCCATCTAACACACAACCACATCACAGTTGTCATTTTTATTGTCACTAAATCTCGCTCCTCTCCTCATCCGCCTGCTGAAACATTTTATTGCGCTGAAACCCGATACTCTACGTTATGACATGCTTCCAAGATTCTTACGCAACCGAAGTGGCACGCCAGGCCAAAAGCCTGAGCTGTGCATGGAAAAGTCATTTGGTTCGCTGGTTTGCTTTGGTGGACCCCCTCGGATATCCCCGTATTTAATTCCTGATGTCATTTGTTGGTGCTGGCTGGAGTTCAACGTTACTCCAGACGACTGAGTGACAGAAAGGTGAAAACGTTCAAACTCTCACTCCCAGATGTTCTTTTTAGCACAGATCCAAACGGTGGAGGAAAGATGTCTCCTCAGGTAGACAACAGGATGTTAGAGTGGACGGGAATCACATTATATTTGTGATGGCATTTCCTGTTTTGATCCAAGTTTTTCCTTCACAGTGACAGCCTACAGGTATTCACATACCACAAACCATCTACAGCCCTATTTTCTTAGTAGCAGTAGATATGCCTAACGTCTTTTTTAAATCCTATTTTCTATAGATCATCATTGGGAAGGCCAGGTGTGTCGCGTTCTCCCCCAACAACCTCAAAAGTTCCAGGTTGTTTCAGAAGTACTGCCTCTCTAACAGGAACGTATTCTGGGGTACATTTCTACCCTGGTAATCTGTTTTGGACTCGGTTCCTGAAGTGGATTGAAAGTGGCCCCAGAACCTCGTCCTGGTCTGTGGAGATAGGCCTTAAAGCAGATATGCTTTTTAGTTCCTCATCAGTTTAGTTTCTTGAATATTTTCTGATAAAATACTGCAGAGGAAATATTCTTTCTTTATTTAAAAAAATCTGTCTGATCTTTAGTGCCCCGTCATGCCTTGTCAGACTCCACATAACTTATACAACCTAAATTAACGGATGTATTAGTGACGGCCGTCAAGTTTATAATTATTCAGTCAAGTATTTTTCCAGAGTTTTCCCCTTTCTGAAATTATGAATGCTTTTTCAGAAATCCGTAAGGTGATTATTTTAATATGTACTATGATATAATACAAGCAATACATTATTATTTATTTATTTTTGCTAAGCACGCCCCCTGACCCGCAGAGCTCTGTGCAATAGGAAACTGAGCGCTGACCATAACTAACCAATAGCGTTAAACTACCGCTTATGTGCTTCAAATTTAAGGAATGCCTTGGCTGATTCAGAGTTGATGAACTTTTCACAGACAAGAAAGTCTCTAAAATATAAATACATGAGAACACAACATAACATGAGAATAATACTCGTAAAGCAATGTGTTTTAGCTGTTTGTCGGCTACAGAAGCACATTTATAAACAGAAACGTGAAGTCGCCATCTTAAAAAGCCGAGCAACAGACTTTTTGTGCAATATGCTTGTCAGCCACTAGATGGTGCCATCAGATAAGAGAAATACTCCGGAAAGAGACTTTAATCAAACACTTTTGTCCAAAGCGACTCATGAGTATTTGGCATGCGTGTTTTTGGTCTCTGGGAGGACACGTAGAAAAGCCACAAATGCAGAAGGAGAACATGCTAACCCCCGATCCACCCTGGTGGCATCAGCGGCGTGGGATGGCAATGAAACGGTTTACTCACGTACGTTGTGGTGCGTCAATCTACATTGGGGAGCAGCTTCTCCGCCAACCTTCTTGCTGGACTCGCAAGATCACAAAATCCCTCGAGACTTCAAAGGTCACGGCTTGTTTATGCCATCCTGTTGGACTTAGTAAAGTGGATCTGACAGGTTAGCACTGCAGTTTGCTTCCAGCTCATTTCCTGCATGTTTTAGATCATGAACACAGCTGATTTGTTTGATTTAGTGATGAGTCACTCCTGTAGAAACTAATAAAGGCTGATGATACATTTCAGCAGTTAGATTAAAGTGTTAAAAAATCAAATGCACAGTGAGGAGGAACATTTCAATTTTAATTGTACTAAACAGACACTAGGGGGAGTTAAAAACAAGCCAAAACTGCCTAGTATCCATTTAAACCAAGAAGAAGAAGGAGATCACGTTTGATCTCACAGTTTGATGTCATATAATGTTGTGACTCTCCAGTGCCTGGATTAAATCTGTGAGAAACATATCGTTGCACTTCTGTAAAGATGATTAAGAGATTACGAGTATATAATCCGTCAGTTTAACGTAATCTAGATGAGAAATCTCATCTCTGCAATTGACTTTGAAAATTATCGGACATTTTATTCAGATACAGGGTGCCCATTGTTAACTGCAACTTCCCAGAAGCAGGCTTGCGGAAGAAAAAGTACCCAGTTCTATCTTTAACAGTGCGGCAAGGCAAGGTGAGGCGAGTTTCTTCTGGGACACGCCTGAAATGTTCTGCGTTGCGGCTGGTTTGGATCAACTCTAACATATTCTATTTGATGCAGAGACGCCACATGGAAAGCCCACATCAGGGATTCAAACCTGTGACCTTCTTGCTACAAGGACACAACACTACCAACGACTCATCATGAGTACCATGCCTATTCCAAAACTATGTCCTTTGCTCTTTTCTGCATCCCTGGAGTGCTCTCCTGCTCTCTCAGCATGCTGCATGCACCAGCAGCATGTTCCCATGATGGTTCTGCATAAAGACCCATGATCTCTGCCGTACACTAGAACAATGCTGATGGCATAATGAGTTGCATTCTAGGCATGAGGCCAACATGGCCAGCCAACATTTCAACAACTGAGCCACACTGGTGTGTGTGTGAGGCCCCATCATTGAAAGACTACCCCCCTGAACCCAGCAAAACGTTGCTATGGACATTTTCTCCTCACTCAGGAGCAGGACTAAGACCTCCTGGGGCCTCTGGGTGACATTGTGCAGCACAGTTTTAATTCTGACTACCTGGAAGAAAAACTTATAGAGTCAGTGGACTAAGCACTGGCCTGATTTCTTTCACAGGGATAAGTTTGTAGAAAACATCATCATTCCACATTTGGCATGGCATCTAATGTATTTATCTCCTAATTTCATTCTCTAGAGATTGACGGTCCGCGGCAGGTGGAAGTGAAGGATGTGACGGACTCTTCGGCTTTGATCAGCTGGAATCTACCTGTTGCTCATGTGGACAGAGTCACCATGTTTTACATGCCCAGCTCCGACCCATCGAACGAAACCACGGTGGACATTTTCCCTCCTGACAAACAGTACAGCGTGGACAGTTTGAGGCCAGACACTGAGTACACTGTTTCAATAATTTCAAGACGTGGAGATGCAACAAGTGACCCTGCCACCACCTCATTCACGACAGGTGGGTGTTTGACAAAACAAATACAGAAAACGCTTTACTCCCCCTTTCATTTCCTAGTCATGTGTGCATGGTGTGATTGACAAGTACTCTAGAATGAGTGCTAAGCAAGAGCACAACAGCGTTTTCTGTTCTTTGACATAGTTTCTAAGGCATATCCATCCTTTTAACGAGTGGTGAAGCCGATGGGTGCTGAACTAACTTGAGGTAGTCCGTTGTCACTCTTTACTTTTACACCAACTGATTAAATATAATAGGAAAGACTTGGCCTAGTTCACACAGCAATTAAAAAAAATGTCCGATGATTTTCAGAACGGGCTGTGCAGTGGCGCAGTGGTTAGCGCCTTGCCATAAGAAGGTCCCAGGTTCAAATCCCAGCCTGGGGTCTTTCTGCATGGAGTTTGCATGTTCTCCTGTTCATGTGTGGGTTCTCTCCGGGTACTCCGGCTTCCTTCCACAGTCCAAAAATATGACTGTCAGGTTGATTGGTCTCTCTAAAATTGTCCTCAGGTGTGAGCGTGCTTGCCTTTGTGTTTCTGTGTTGCCCTGCAATGGACCGGCAATCTTTCCAGGGCGTACCCTTCCTGTTTGCCCGATGATTGCTGGACATATGCACCTGCCCCCTGCGACCCTGCGGGTATAGAAAATGGATGGACTTTCAGAACATGAAAGACACCCCCACACGTTTTGGTCCTACTCTGTGTAGTGTGCTTCAGATCTCACAAAACCTTCCCAGTTAGCATTCCATATTCCTTATATAACTAAATCAACTATAATTACCCAGAACTGGATGCCCCCACCGGCCTGCAAGCGGTGTCACAAACAGAAGACAGCATCACTCTGGAGTGGACCAACAGCCAGGCTAATGCTAGCGGCTATCGAGTGAAATACAGCCCCATCTCTGGCGCCACTCATGGTGAAGAAGTGTTCCCACGGGGACCGGGACACACCACACAGGCTACCATCACCGGTAAGAGGCAGATTTGTTTCTGAAGGAGAACACACACACACTTGACATTCTGGCGTTTATTAGTCTGATAATTTGAACATCACCTTGTTGTATCAAAGGGTTGGATCCGGGGACGGAGCATGGGATCGGAGTGACAGCTGTAAAGAACGAAAGGGAAAGTCTCCCTGCTACTACTAATGCAGCGACTGGTGAGCAGCTGTCCAAACAGTAGTTTCAGCAATTCTCACAGTCATGGACGTATTTTTCACTTAGAATTGGGGGGGGGGGGGGGGGGGGGGGGGGGACACAACCGGCATGAGGACCGTGGGTGGGAGTATCTTTACAGTATGTTCTAATGGGAAGCGGGCTTTAACACAAACGGTTGTTTTCTGCTTGGTCCTAGAGCTCAACCAGTGTCTATGTAACATAGTGTATCATTGTTTTTGGATGGTAAAAAAATACAGGGGTCAAAACTTGACTTTGGAAAAAGTGTGTGTGTGTGTGTGTGTGTGTGTGTGCGTGTGTGTGTGTGTGTGTGTGTGTGTGTGTGTGTGTGTGTGTGTGTGTGTGAAGGGGGGGGGGGGATGTCCCCCTGTCCCCCTTCCAAAATTACGTCCATGCACACGGTGCAAGTTTTTACAGACTGATTGATGATATGAAACTAATGGAGGGGATTGAAGTTTTGTTCTTTTCCGTGATTCATGTGTCCTCGGTCAGACCTCGATCCTCCCAGGGACTTTGAACAAGTCAAGTCCACAGAGACGTCTCTGACGGTGAGGTGGCAGAAACCCCAAGCTAAAGTGAGTGGATACAGACTGGTCTACATCTCCAGAGATGGCCAGACAGAAGAAGTAGAGATCCCAGTCACAGCAACTACATACATCCTTCCTAACCTGACTCCTGGAATGAGCTATACCCTCACTTTGACTGCAGAGAGGGGCCAGAGAACGAGCAGGCCTGTCTCACTATCAGCATCCACAGGTGAGTGGACAACAGCTCCGTTACAGCGGAACTGATCAGTTCTTAAAATTGATCATTTTGTAGATGAGAGTTTAGCGCTGGAATTGTAAACGGCAGCTTCAAACTGCTGCAGTCACAGCTTTGTTTCAAAGACGATCACTGGAAACAGGACATCGTAAGCTATGGTATGGCTTTGGAAACATGTATGGTGGCCCATATGGTTCAAGTAGATGCAAAAGTCACAACACAGCGAAATACAAAAATCACCCTAAAGTTATGACCCTACAACGTTTACACAGATAACTAAATTCTGCCCTTGAAGATAAATCGATTTGAATGCATTCTCACTTAGATTGTAGCGTAAATGCACCCACTCAAGTATCTAAAGTTCAGTGTCACAGTTTAACACCTCTGGATGAAAAAGAAGGAATGGGACCTTGATTAGAAACCCGAGAGCAGGAACCATAAACTTGACACTTTTAAAGATTAGCCTCAAGTACGTTCAGATTGCAGGTGTCCAAAAAGCATAGTTTCTATTATTTACCTGCCAAGAACATAGCCTAGAAATCAAGACGGACTAAAAGCAAAAGACCACAGCTCTAGACAGGCCCAGCTTTAGCCTCAGCAGTTTTGTGTCTTGCCAGTTGCAGTGCTCTGTCAGTTTGGTGGGTGGGATTAGCAGCAGAGCTACGAAGAAGGGAAACTAGAAAGATTGCAGCAGCTCGTTTGAAATGGCTTTGGCATCAACTTTGGACTATTTAGACATGGGCTTTTCTTTCAGTCAAGTGCAGATAGAGGTAATTAGGTCCTTTATTTAGAAAATTGATGTGTTTGTGTCTTCTTTGGCAGTGTGTAGGACTGCCCCACTGACTTGGCCTGGCAAGCCAGACTAAATAAATGTATTATTTAGTCTGGCAACGCTCCATTGACGGCTCTCGGTTGTGGGACGGGTTCGACCATTGTCTTTCATATGATCTCTGCATGCTACTGGACAATGAATGTGACATACTCACTGCAACAGCTATCGGTAAATGAGGTGGTCCGCAGTTGGAGAAGGAGAAAACACATCATTTTTTCTAAAAAAAAAAAAAAAGCACTTAAATACATCTATCTGCTCCTGATTCTAATGAAGCCCAAGTTCTAATAGTCCAAAATTGATGTCAAAGCCGTTTCTAATGAGCTGTCGCCATCTTGTTTCACTCTGTTGCATCATCCCACCCACTAGGCATATAGAGTGCCCTGATTGGCCCGCAAAGCGGATAAAGCTCTGTGATTTGTTCACTAAGCAGATAGAGCGCTATGATTGGCCCACCATTATGGACCAATCACAGCTCTTTATGTGTTTGAAACCCCTCTAGAGAGAGAGGTACGACGTAGCCACAGCTGCCCTGGGGCGCACTGACACAGGCGCCACCGATCCCTCTGATCACACTATACTATGCCATACTATACCATACCAACTTTATTTATATAGCACAATTTAAAACTCAGTGTGAGAGCTGACTAAAGTGCTGAACAGGCAGGGTCAAATAAAACAAAAAGAAATAAAAAATAAGAAGATAAAACACAACAATAAAAAACTATAAAATCATAGTGCAATAACATAAATCACCAAGTCATAAAAGTAGGTTTTTAAACGAGATTTAAAAACAGGCAGAGAGGATGCCAGCCTAACTGTAATGGGCAATGAGTTTCAGAGCATGGGGGCAGCATGGGCAAATGCATGTTCACCTCGTGATTTGTAGGCCATCCGGGGAGTGCAAAGCAGTAGATGGTCAGCTGACCTCAACATACGAGTAGGTACATAGGGAGTCAGCAGGTCGGACAGGTAAGGAGGTGCTAGGTTGTGTAGAGCTTTAAAAACAAACATCGATATCTTCAAATGCACACGAAATGTGATGGGGAGCCAGTGAAGAGTTCCAGGACTGGTGTAATATGGCTATGTTGACTTGTGTTAGTTAAAAACCTAGCAGCGGCATTTTGGACAACCTGCAACCGGTTCAAGGCAGAGACAGGAGTTCCAGCTAATTGTGCATTAGCGTAGTCCAAGCGAGAGGTAACGAAAGCGTGGATGACTGATTCCAAGTGCTTCCTCTTTAAGATTGGTCTTAAACGAGTTAGGCGGCATAACTGATAAAAACAAGACCTCATCACTGAGTTGATCTGAGGAGTCATTGAGAGGTTGGCATCCACTTTTACCTAGAGGCTTATTACACACTGCTTAGGGTTTAAACCATCAAGTGGATTGAGAGCCAGAAAGATTGCGGGTATCAAAGACAATGGACTCAGTCTTTAAATCATTCAACCTGAGCAAATTGGCCACTAGCCAGCCCTTTACATCTGCCAGGCATGCCGCAAGACGAGAGTCCACATTTCCATTTTTTTGTACCACATATATTTGACAATCGTCAGCATAGATGTGATAATTAAGACTGTGCCAATTTAGGATTTTGCCCAGTGGTAGGAGATATATAGAGAAAAGAAGAGGCCCCAGAACAGAGCCCTGCAGTACACCCCAAGGCAGAAGGAGAAAGGAGGAGGAACAATCGCCAATCTGAACAGTAATAGATCTGTTGGATAAATAGGAGTGAAACCATTCAAGTGCAACCCCCTTTACCCCAACCCAAGACTCAAGACGGTCCAACAGAATAAGGTGGTCCACAGTATCAAAAGCTGCTGAAAGGTCTAGCAAGAGCAGTAATACCTTAGACCAATCAGCAGGCAAGTCAGGTTAAGTGTCTTGCCCAAGGACACAACAGCATCATTATCTGGTCTGAGCTGGGACTGAACCTGCAACCTTCCAAATCCTGGACAATCTGCTCTACCTCCTGAGCTACTGCTGTCCCAAAATACTTTAAAGTAGTCTGATCGCTCATTATTCAAATCAGCTAGCTGCCTCATTTTGTAGCTGAACTGAGTGATGCACATTCCGGTGACAGAACATGAAAATCACCACAGGCACGTCCTTCTTGGCACCCACACATGATCTAACGCCCTTCAGAGATGTTCCCTTGCAGTAGTCACAACCAGGTCCCAAATGCTGGTGTGGCTTAGGCTTATGGCAGAAATCAGATAGTATCATAACTTCTGTTTTAACACAAGTTTCAGTTGAATGCTACCATTTTGTAATCACTGTGACTTTTATATTCTGTTGAACTGTAAGGGCCACCATAGTGAAGTCATCAGAGTATATAAAATTTGTGTGTAATTAATTTTTCTTTTGAGTTTTGAAAAAGGCTCAGAACTGATCTAGCACAGCTGCAGAGATGCTTCTTCTTTTATCTTTCAAATATATATTTACTGTTTTCAGGAGACTTTGGGTTTGCCATAAATGTGCCACCTATGATCACTGAACTAACTGGAGTGTATTCTTACCTGATTTGTGCCTTTGTTTGTTTGTTTGTTTTTGTAGCCTCTTTCACCTTTTATTCTGCTAACTCAGACATCCATGAGCAAACAGCTCCCAGAGACTCAGAGAATAGCTCTGGGGTTTTACAACCATCTGAGTCCCAGTTTTCTGGGGCAGAGCTTGAGGATGAGCTCGGAGTGCTGACTGTTTCCGGCATCACGTTTGACGGATTTGACCTCTCTTGGAAACTAAAGCCTCACAATGTTTATGATAATTTAGTTGTGTCATATAAAGGCACTCAGCAGTTGTGGGGTTTGAGAGAGGTCAAACTTCCTGGAGATGCCCGTGGGTCTAGACTCACCGGCCTGAAGCCGTTGACAGAATATCAAATACACTTAAAGGGAGTAACAAGTAGCCAGGAATCATCTGTGCTACTTGAAGCTGTTGCAGTCACAGGTACATGCTTCTCTTTTCAAGTTGACCAGTCTCTGACAGTAGGATTTGCATGCTGGTCTCTTTCTAATAATAATATTTCTAATAGAAATGATTCTCTGCATAGTTTGGCATGCTGAAACAATCCAAAGAAAGTGTGATCTCGCCTCTCATTTCTTTTGCTAAGGCAGGATGCTGCTTATTTCACACCCCCTCACACAGGATGAAGACCCTGCTACGGCTTAAAAATATCCAGAATGAGGAAGACCTTTGAAGGGTCTTGATGAGGTCTTTAGGTGTTTATTGACAATGCGCTAAGCTTTATACGTGTGTTTGCGGTGGTTTATTATTGTAATTGTTCCTGGATGAAGACTGAGGGAACTTAGTTGCAGCTGGAACACGAGGTCCATGACATGGTCCCAACAATCACAACTTGGTGATTCAGAATTTGAAGCGGGACTGGCGTCTAGACTTGACTACAACCTGCATGATGGTCACACACCTCTGCTCCAGGTTGGTTATTGCAGTCCTCCTACCAACATGGATGCTACGCTGATTGCTGCCATTTTAACTCAGGATCAGCCCCAAGAGGGGGCAGCAGTAGCTCAGGAGGTAGAGTGGGCTGCCTTGTGATTGGATGATAACGGGATTGATACCGTCTCCCGCCAGGGAATTCCTGCTGTTGTGTCCTAGGGCAAGACACTTCACCCGACTTGCCTGTGTTGGTGGGTGCTAGAGGGGTTAGTGACGCAAAATGGCAGCCTTGCCTCTGTCAGATGCCCGAAGACAGCTGTGGCTACATAGTAGCTTACCATCACCGGCAATGTGTGAATGCGAGAGTGTGTGAACAATGGGAAGTGCTTTTAGTGCCTAAACAAGCACTTTATGAATCCAATTAATCATCATTATTATTATTATTATTATTATTATTATTATTATTAATACAATTGTTGTTATTATTATTTATTATTATTGTTGTTGTTATTATTAATACTGTTAATAATAATAATAATAATAATAATAATGAGATTCTCATGAGCTGATAACAGCAACAGAAATCCATTCTTCTCCCAGAAGGGAGCCAAGGCCTTACCTAAACCATAAGTCTTGTACCTTCTCCAACTGCTGGGCTTCCACCCTTAAGATAGGAAGATGGTTGGCTACCCCTGAAGTAGTGTCAGATTTAAAAGCTTGAATATTTATCGACAAATGATGGCATCATAAAGTCGCCCTTGGGGCATCAGAGACTCGGGGGTTTGCGGTCTGCCCTGTAATCAGTGGCTTGCTGTTTTAAATCTCAGCTCCATCCACCTCAGTTGTTGTGTCCTTGGAGAAGATGCTTCACCTACCTCCAGAGTGGTCGATTGGTGTTGATGGTAAAGCAGCCTTACCAATGAGAGAGTGCCCTGGGACAGCCATAGCTACTTTGTAGCCTATGGCCATCAGCGTGTGAATGTGTTCATTAATGAGTGACTATTTAAGTATAATATTTAATGTTATCTTTATTCCTCCACACAAACCAGGCTTTTCCACTGGATGCATAAGTGTCACGAGACATAGTACGCGGCAATTAGCCATCGCTACAGTGGGTGGGTGCATTTCCACCGGCAGCGAAGCGTGACGATGCTTTGCGTACGCTTCGAGTCGATTTTTTTACACCCTACTCTTCCAGATCGCAGCAAACTCCGCTGTTCAGATTGGACCAGACAGGAAGTTGAACACGAATGCAGAGTAACCTACATAGCCGAAGTAAAGGCAACAGAAAATTAACCACAGACCACAGGCCAAGTGCAGACGTGATGTCGGTGATGGTGATGCAAGCTGATCTCTCAGCAGATCAAGCTTTGGGTCGTGGTGTGATCATTGAGGTAGGACTGTTGTGATGATATTGTATAAAATAGAAAGAAAGCTACGGGATGTGGGAATCTTGAGCACATGGATAATAGAAGGGAATCTCACGGAAGGATGTCTTCCAAATGTAGTTGCGATCCAGCTATATTTTTGTGGAGGCCATGAAGAACGTAGTGGGGTTTTAATCCAGTGTGAAGGGGCCTCCTACAAATAACCATCTATTTAGTCTAACCTCCTTTTTAAAGAATTAAATTCTTTTTACACAGCCAACTAAAGAATTATATCAAATGTCATGTGCACGTCGTCTAAGTGATGCCAGTCTTTCTTTAGGGCATCAGAAACATCATGGCTCTTGCATGGCTTTGGGATCCAGTTGAAGGGAACTGTGTACTTCCACTCTGGTGGACTATTCAGCACCTTCAAGCGATTAATGGCACTGACTCAAGTGCTATTAATGCATCAGTTGCTGCTGTATGACTAAACTGTGAAATAAACAAGGACATTTCTGATTAGATGACAGGCAAAAGTCTACAGAAGAATTGATTTGTTTCTATTTTAACCCAATTTTCTATTCACAGGATTTTTCTTCAGCAAAGCCAGTGAGAGATTCACTGTTTAATCAGCCTTTATTTGCTTTAGCACCTCTAGAAGAAGCTCTGGAAACCCTACTGTCCACTCTGGAGAATGAAAGCCCAGATCTTCTACTTTCACTAAACAATGAAGCACTGCCCACATCTGATGCTGTTGTGATGAGTTCTGGGGCTGAGCCTGAAAGCTCAGGTACGAACCTGCTTGGCGACCTAACGGTCAACGTTACCACCACAAGTATGAGTCTGGCTTGGTCAGCGCCTGATGGAGCATTTGACAGCTTTTTAGTAGAGCTGATTGCTCCATCAGCAGCAGCGCAGGCTCTCGTGACCACATTACCTGGAACTTCAAGAGCAGCTGAAATAAAGAGTCTTTATCCTGCTACACAATATAACATAACCTTAGAAGGGCAGGTGGACAGGAAGCCATCTTTACCTCTGAGAGTTGCTGCTACTACAGGTACATGGCGTCAATTTCTCTTACAGTTGGCGTCATCACAACCCATCACCTTAGTTCTCCTTATTGTTGTGATGTGGACACTTAAAATTAGCTCCAATTCCAAAGATGGTTTGTGTTTTATTACAAATGATTTTCAGATATTCTGATCGCAGCGTAGCTATAATGTTTATTTAATTGATGACATCAAATAAAAACTATGTGTTATGCTAAGAAAGGCACGTGAAGCTTAAACATTCACGTCATAATCAAAACAATGCACCATGGGGGTTCGAGCCTTTGCAGTCGCTGCCCCCACACGTTGGAACTCTCTCCCACTAAACATCAGGTATGTGTCACGCTGAGGAGCAGGAGGTTTGGACCCAAGATGCAGAATTCCCGGAACGACTCAAGGCAGGAGTGGTTAAATAAAATAATTCCTTTATTTAAAGGAGGATGCGCCAAAAGTCCAAAGCACCAAAGCGTGGAGCTGAACAACCTCGTTCTTCATACGCTCAAACTCCGCTGGGTTAATGGACTCAGTCATCCTGTCAGACTAGTCGGCTGGATAAGGGGGTTGAGCTGTGGCGAGCGTGGCTTTACCGAAGCGGAAGTGCTAGCGTCGGCAAAACGCCGGCTCGCGGTTTGATCTAAGAATTCCCCGAGCGTCATTGAGGCGACACGGAGAAGTTGGAGCTTCTTGTCCAACAACCTAGAAGGAAAATAGCTTGATTGGTTTGCCAAAATCTCTTCAAGGGCAATCAAAAGTTCTTCTCCATGGCCTCCACAAATTCATCTGATACCCCAGTTTTTCTTTTCATTACCACAGAATCTGGCCATTCAGGGCCTGCCATCTGGAACAGCTACAACCTAAAGAGCTTTAGGAGATCTTTAGCCGGACAAATTAAAAATTACCACTGATATCCAATTTTGAGTCTTCAGGTCTCTTCTACAACAGTCACCAGTCACCTTCTAGCCACAGCTCCTGGAAGCTGTACGTAAATGAGGCTATAAATGTCCACCTAAAATCTGTCAAGCTTTCCTGGACTGTCCCCACAATATACTCCCTACTGTCTCTCATAGGGTATGTCCAGAAAGTTACTGTGGCACCAGACTAACGTCAGCTCGAGGTGGCGATCAGTAATATATTTTCCTTCATTACATGATTAAGACTTGGAGCTGCTGGTGTGATGACCTTATAAAGACAGTTATTGTCTCTTGCTCCCCAAAAACAATGGCACCTTTTCCAACACAGCATCCTGAACTTGTGAAGGTTAGGTCCTCTGTACTCCTACTGGTGCGTGTAGCACTAGACCTGTGCCACCAGTCGGGGTTTGCACACATACTCACACAGACAACTCAGCTTAACTTTTTACTATTGCAGTCCATGCTCTCAGCGCTCATGTCCTGTCAGGGTCACCGTCAGACATTTCCCTGTCATCTCCTTGTCTTTTTGTGGCATTGGCCCTAATAATCAGCCTTCGGCTGACTAGTAATTGCAGCTGTGTGCGCAGCGGCGGGCTCCCATCTCAAGCCTGATTTATACTTCTTCGTTTGCGTCGGTGCGGAGACACAAGCGCCGTTATGCGTCGGCACAAGTGCTCTCCGACAAGCTCACAGATGGTGACAGAGACATGCCCACAATTTAAAACATCCTTTCAAAGTGACGGAGACCGCAAGCTTGTATTGGTCAGGAAGCCGCGTCCTGTAAATTCCTCACCAGCACCGCCATTTTTTATTATTATTATTTTTTTGTCCCATTAGTTGTCACACACACTGATGTGTGTGCGAAATTTGTTCAACGCATTTGACCCATCCTGCAGACACAGCCGCACTCGGGAACCATTTGGTGGTTTAACCCCCCAATCCAAACCCTTACTGGTAAGCGTCAAGCAGGGAGACATTGGGTCCCATTTTTTCAAAGTCTTTGGTACGACCCGACCAGGAATTAAACCCTGATCTCCCAGTCTCAGCGTGGACACTCCACCACTGGACCACTGCACTGGTTTCCCCCCCAAAAAGTAAAATGGATGTTTAGCGGCAGACCCAGAACGGATTTAAGAACGCATCGCGGAAGAAGTCTGAAAATATTAACATTTATTCACCCTAGAAGGAGTACAAAATACGGAGGGAACGTGGACGGAAACAACAGGAAATGGGGGTTTAGAGGTGGCGACCGCATGAAGAGGTGGAGGAGAATGCAGGACAAATTTGTCCGTCATAAAGTCACTGAAATATATCAGTAAATACGCTATCGTGGACTGGATACATGAGTATTATGGTGGCAGGATACCACAGAAAAACGCCGCACCCTCTGTTGTCCTGGCGGGGAATTACTTTGCAACACTCCGAACGAAAGTTCGAATGTGAAAACCTTTCCAACACTCCGTGTGCGTGTCTCCGTTGCCGAGCTCATGGAGGAGTAAAAACCAGGCTTGACCCTCCCCTTCTACACACCATTTCAGTGCATGAGTACAAAGAACAGCCAGAACCTTCACACTGCAGTAAGTGGACTCTCATTCACCAGAAAAAGTCCAATTCTTACCTCTTCCCCATTGGTAATTCCCGGGGAGGCGAGCACAATCCCTCTCTAGGAGTTAGCTTTCAGTGCCCAAGTTGTGTGTGGAGGTTTTTAGCTTTCTTGGTTTATCGTTAACCTCAAAATCACAGCAGCTCAGCGCTGCCAACAATCGGGAGAAACCAAATGAACAGGACCTGACCTGAACTTCCTCCTCCCAGTGAGGAAGAAGAAGATGAACAGGAGGTCACACCAAAGCAGCCTGAACAGATGCGTTTTCAGCTGCTTTTTAGATGAGACTGCTGATTTCAGGCTCAGTGTCTAGCTGTATTTACTGCTCAACCTCACTCACAAGCCCAACATTTTTGCTCACTATATGGTATGGTATTCAACCTTCAATGCACCCAATTTTGACTTCCGTAATCCCAGGCAGAGAGATGTCCTTACAGAGAGCTTGTGTAGCCTTTTTTGGTCGTGCCAGGCTGAGTTCCAGGAGCCAAAGAAACACTCTGTAGGTACTTGTTGAGAAGCCCCACCAAACGTGGCTGTAGAGCCGGGGCCGGTGTCCAGCACATTTTGGTTTGAACTGCTTCAACACACCTGATTTCAATCAGCAGGTTTTAACAGGCTTCTGCAGAACCTGATGCTGATGCACAGGTGATTCAGCCACTGTGTGTTGGAGCAGAGAAACAACTAAAACCTGCTGGATACTGGCCCTCCAGGTCTGGAATTGAATACCCCTGCTCTAGAGGGATGCCAAGTCTCTCTATTCTTGGTGAAGTAACACTTTGACCTCTCCCCTGAGGCAACTTTGCCATGGGAAACCCTTTCAGGAGTTGAGGCCCTAGACAGCAGAGCCTAAAGGGCCATGGGGGTGAACAGAACCTTCCTCCACATTAAGATGCTTGCTATGTTAAAGAGGCAGTTACATCTGCACAAATAACCTTCAGAAAAGAGCCGTCTACACGAAACCTACCTTCATTAGAAAGCATCAAACTAATATCTTATACAGGTAAATCAGTTGAAAATTCTTCACAATAGTATTTCAAACCTAAACACGCTGCACACCACTCCTGAGCGACCTCAGTAATACGTTTTTTTTTCTTGAATTCTAAATTAGTTTTAGAAATGTTCTTTAAAAAAAAATAAATGTTCTTTATGAAAAACTCGTGACTCAAACATGCAGTTTTCTAGTTGGCATGTAGGAATGTGACGTAAAGTCAAAGATTCGTCTTGCTGTTGAATTGATCACAATCTAATGTGTTTGTCTACCAGCTGAGCTGAAGCCGACTATAGTGAACCTCACCATATCCGAAATTTCCTGGGATGGTTTCACTGCATCCTGGAGCCTCACTGGGGGGGGCTTTGACAGCTTTGTCATTGAGGTAACAAACATGGAGAATTTTGAAGAGAGCCAGAACCTCACTCTCTCTGGCGACGCTTTGAGCCTGGGTATCTCTGGGTTGAACCCTAACACCAGCTACATGGTTGGCCTGTATGGGATGCATCAGGGCTCCTTCCTTGAACCCCTGTACAGTGAAGCCACCACAGGTACCTGTAACTTATTGTTGCAGTTGAATTGTCTCTATATTTATTTAATCTCTTTATTTGAGTCAAAGTAAACAAAAACATTGCTTGGTAGTTACACTCAGTACAGCGTGCACATCGGACTGCATGAAACAAGAACTAAATAACTGTTTCTATTTCTGGCATAACTGTGAAACATCAAAGCCTCGGTGCATCAAACTGCTGCATCCTAACCAACATCCCCCATTTCCACCCTCCAGTCACTGTTTCTATTTTACTGAGAGAGGGCGGGGTCATGGGTGCCGATGTCGCATCAATGAACCAAACACTTATTCTTACTCGGGACTGCTCCCCCCATCCCAGCCACCAAAGTGCATGAAGCCCCTCCCCCTGCCATCCCTGCATTGTGGTCAATTCTGATGCTGATGTGCTGCAATGATTGCAAAAGCAAAACCAATAACTTTCCCTCTCCCCACTCGTTTTACCACGACAGCGTGACTGCCTCATTTCATGCGTCGGCCTTCATTCAGTGTGTAATCGATTAACCTTGAGCAATCATTTGCCCGTGTGTGTAAACAGTCATGGCATGCATGAGTATCCATGTCAGTCGACTTCTGGGAGTTTGTGGGAGTGAATGCAAGATAGCTGATCATTTTCCCAGAGTATCTTCATAAATATCCTTATTTCCTTTTGAACTACTAGGTGGCAAATGATTAAATCTTCTTGTCGTTATCAAGGTAAACAGCTCCTTATGCAAACTGAAGTAAACGTTGCTGTCACCTTGTTTTACATCAAGTGTGTGCATTTATCTGCCCTATACTGCATGTTATGCAGATTTAACAGATTTTTGTTTAGGTTATGGCATTCTTTCCATAAATTAACTAACAAACTGCTTGACGGAATAGTGCTCTACGTGCATGTAATCCTTCTCCCTAATTATATTTGTACATTTAGGTAAAAACTTGTAGGACTATAGTTTCTAGCTATTCACATAAATGCTTTTTGTGTTTTTTCCTTAACTTTAATGCATTTGTAAATCATTTGTTTCCACAACTTCTGTTACAGGGTTTATTTTTTACTTGCATTTTCATACATATACACATGCATGTATTTAAACGTTGATAATACTATTAGTTTAATCATTATCCTGCAGAATGACGTGTCTAACCATTGGTTTCTTTCTTTAGCGACTCAGCCTGTGATTGGCAAACTATACGTCTCAAACATAACATCTGAGAGCTTTACAATCCAGTGGAATGGTGCTGAGAGACGGTTTGATGGTTTTATCCTGGAGATAATTGACTCTGATTGGCTGACGGAGCCAAAGGAATACAACATCTCCAGTAATGTAACATCCCTTGACATTGACGGGCTCAGGCCCAGCACGCATTATGTAATCTACCTCTACGGGACTTTCAAGGGATCTCGTTCGAATGCTGTCAGTATTGTTGCATCCACAGGTATTTGGACTTTATCTGCATTGAATAAAGCTGGCTTTTTTCTTTTAGCTTCACAAGTTGTGTTGAAAAGTTGATGTGGACATATGTCTTTAGTTTCAACAAACAGATAAATGCTGTATGTTTCTCTCCCTTATAGCTGAAGAGCCCGATTTGTCCAAGCTAGTTGTTTCTAACGTTACCTCTGACAGATTCTCTCTGTCATGGCGAACAGGAGAGAAGGAATTTGATAGGTTTATAGTAGAAGTCAGAGAGTCTGCTTTGCCCTCGCAGGCAATGGGGCGCACTCTTCCAGGAGATGTTCGCTCTACAGTAATGGCCGGGCTCAAGGCGAGCACGAGCTACAGCATAAAACTTTATGCCAGTGAAGGTGATGGCCAGAATACACCGCCTCTGTTTGCTGTAGCAACAACAGGTACTACATGCATTTACTGGCCCTGGATGTGTCAGCTGCAGTGTGTACTGAAGTAACTGAACAGTCGTATTCTTCTTTTATTCAGAGGATGTCCCAAAGTTGGGGCCTCTGGCTGCTTCGTCGATGAGCCCTCATAACCTGAGTTTGTTCTGGAACACTGTATCAGGACACTTTAACAGCTTTGTTGTCCGCGTCAGTGACCCTGAGCAGCTGTCTGATCCGCTGGAGTTCAGGCTGCCCGGCGAAGTTCGTAACGTTACAGTAACAAACCTGACTGATGACTCGGGCTACGACGTCGAACTTTACGGTATTTCTCACGGGCGTCGCACTCCCTCTGTGTTTGCCCACGCTGTGACAGGTACTACGTCATTTACTCACAACTTTTGTGTTGCAAATTTTAATGCTAAGATCATTTGAGAGCTTTACAAACAAAATGAGAAACTTTGTGTTATTTTTTTATTTTTTTAAATAAACTCTGAAAAGAATTTTAAATCATAATTACGTCCTGATCTAAGGCCAGAAATTCACTCTGAGCAAATCTGGAATGCACCATGAGCAGCCATTGTTTTTAATTGTAGCTGTTTGGGGGGTAATCAGAACAGTACACTCTAAGAAATGAAATGTTGAATTTACTTAACCAAGTTATCTCAACTGGTTCCACTAAACCGCTTAAATAAAAAGAGTAATATACATCAAATCTCATAGCAATGTAAATGACTGGTTTGGTGGAACCAGATGACATGGCTTGGGTAAATTCAACACTCTGTTTCTTACAGTGTAGGCATAATTGGGGTCATGAAATGTGTAATAGTATGCAACAATGTGAGGGTTCCCAGGCAGCCAGTTTCACATCAGCTCACTGAGCTACATCTGCAAAGACCTCCAGGACACTATTAAGGACACTTTGTTTTCAAGCCTATTTAAAACATTTATGTAGATTAAAAGTTCACAATCACTAACACGGGGAGGGATATACGAAGAAATGACAGAAACAAAAGCGCCGTTTGAATTAACCTGAGGACCTGTCTATCCTGGCCTACGCTCATTGCACCATGAGCCTTGGAGGTCCAGTAAGGCCAGCTGATGTAACAGACATCTGATGACTTGCACCAGTCAATATTTCCAACATCTTTTAAAGTTGTGGTTTACTCATTTATTCAATACGTTTGCAGTGTTCTCTAGTCTATATCACCAAGACACTTTCCGCTCTCTCCTAGCAGCACAATAAAGCCTTCCTGTGGGTGGGTGGGCACGAGCCAAGATGGGCGAGGCCATGGATGCAAATTCACAGTGTGGCATAGATATGTGAGGATTTTCAAATCCTAGCATTTGACCGTCTATTTTGTATCAGAAGCTAAAGCAGGAGATATGTGTAGAAGGCTGTTTTCATGAAAAACTCAGAGTAGCCGATTATAATTAGAAATAATCATTTAAAATAGGTGTTTTCAGTCAACCACACCTTTAATAACATGAAACCAAGACCAGAGTTAACTTTTTGGACTCTTGCATCCAGATGTGAGATTAGGACCCTCTTGTTTTCTTACAGAGAAAACTTAGAGAAAATGAGAATCCACAATTATCCTGAATTTATTATTTTTTGAGTATTTTTGAGTAAATCTGAAATGTAGATACAGGATAAAAAGTCTGGCTCATGACGAGGCATGCCACACTTGCTTAGAGTGTGATCTATATGTTACCAAACCTTTATGAAATGACTCATCTCATGCTGGAAGGACACGCGCTGTGCTTGCTTTTGCAACCATTGCACACACTCTCCTCCTAATGGAATCTCATGTCCCCTCCATCAAACCCACCCCCTCCCTCTCAGCTCCTTTACCCAAAGTGGAAAACTTGACCATTTCCACCGTAACCCCCTACGGTTTCAGAGTGTCCTGGGAGGTCAGGCAGCAGCAGGAGGAATTATCACCATCTAGTGGCGGTTTCAGCCACTTCCACATAGTGGTGACAGACTCTGGCCGGCTGCTGGAGCCTCAGGACTTCACAGTGCCGGGGAACCAAAGTCATCTGGACATGTGGGGGCTCATCACCGGCATAGGCTATGAGGTCAAGTTGACGGGGGTGTCAGAATCGGGGCTTCTCTCTCGGCCTCTGACTATAGTGGCTGTGACAGGTACCACTCACACTGGACTGCAGGGCGCTCGACTCACTAAACGGTTCAGTTTCTGATTCTGCTGCAGCTGCTGAATGTGTAACCGTGACTTTTCATTTGCGTCTTTGATCCATTACAAGAGCAATCTCACCTTTACTTTTAGAGCATTCTCTTGGAATGCAGCTGTGTCAAGAAAAACAAAAGGTGTGGAGCCCCCATCTGTGTTTTTCTCTCCTCCAAAATATGAGCAAGCGTATTTGTTTGTCTTCATATTTTCTGTGTTTTCCTTCACATTTCTAACTTACTGGTGTCCGTAGACTAGATCTGCCTTCTGGTCAACCCCTGCTGCTCTGTACATCAGGCTGAAGCCAAATTTTCATTGTGCAGGAAAACACTGACAAATCAACAGATGTTCCGAGCATGAAACATCTATTGATTTAACTCCTAATCTCACTTTGTCTCATTTCCTTTGAAATGCACGGAATGCATCGAGGCTGGCCTCAAGGACGCATGGGATCTCGTCTCAACAGACCTGTTCACTGACATAGATAAACATCTACAAAAATCCTCTTGTCTGCTAATTCTTGGATGTCCTATTAGGCCTGAGCGGTTTTTGACTGATTAACAGATACCTGAGCATGGCAGATCTGAGGTGGTGGACCAGACGTCTCTTAAGTTGATCCAATCCGCCACCCAGAAACCTTCCTCCGTAATAACCAACCTTCTCCAAAATGCCACCAGTCCATGAGTCTTACTAAGAAAACCCCAAACCCTCTGCATCACCTCTGTTTTCTTGTCTAACCAGAGGCTGAGCCGGAGGTGGAGCATCTCTTCGTCTCGGACGTCACGGCTGACGGTTTCCGTCTGTCGTGGACCACGGACCACGACCTGTTTGACAGATTTGTCATTAAAGTCAGAGACAGTAAAAGGTTAGCCCATCCACAGGAGTTCAGCGCCCGCAGCGACAAGAGGACCAAGGTCATAACTGGCCTCATGAGTGGCACTGAGTATGAAATCGAGCTTTATGGCGTCACAGTGGACCAACGCTCCCAACCAATTACAGCGGTTGCTCAGACAGGTATATAAAAAACCTGCTTCATTCTAACCACTTCACTTTCTACTTCCTAGAGCAGGGGTCACCAACTCTGGTCCTCGAGAGCTACCCTCCAGCACATGTTTTTGCTCCTACACACCTGAGTAAACCAATGAGTAATTAATTCAATTCAATTCAATTCAAATTCAAAGATACTTTATTAATCCCAGAGGGAAATTAGAGTTTCAGTACACACAATTCTGAGATCAGACATACATACAGGCATAGACACTTGACAAGAACTGATGACTGTGGTCATTCACAACCCGAGTCTCGCTACCTTAATAGTGATCAGAGGATTACATGAGGACTGTTTCAGGTGGAGGAAAAAAAAGGCACTTCTGAGTTACCCTCTACAGGGAGGGCAGCTTTGCTATGCAAAAAACACCTCAGACAGAAATGCAACAGACTTCAGACATCACACAACATAAGTGTCCACAAGGTGGGGAGGTAGGGTAGAGGACTCTCCACACATCAGTGCATGCAGCCGCGATAAGCAGCGCTCGTCACTTCCGTTTGGACAGGGGAAGGAGGTATTTGGATTAGAGAGCACAGTGACTCCTGGAATCGATTCAACGGCCTTCACCGGTCGCATTCCCACCCAGGCTGGGACAGGGAGACAGAGTTACCATGGCGATGGCAGCGTTGCACATTTCTTCTGAGGGGGAGTAATCTCTTCAGCCTCACAGGCTCAAGGGCACCAGATTCAGATAAGAACTCGTTTTGGGGCCAGACAGAGATCATTTCCTCTCTGGCTTAAAAAGCCCATGCAGAGTTAAGGAGGAGATTCAATTACTCCATTCAGGTGTGGTAGTGCAGGAAACACAGACAACTAGCAGGATGGTAGTCCTTGAGGACCAGAGTTGGTGACACTTGTCCTAAAGCAGGGGTGGGCAACCCTAGTCCTAGAGACCCGCAGGCCGGCATGTTTTCCAGCCATGCATGAACTTGCAGATTTTAATTGGAAAAACAAACCGAATCCAGGTAAACAACAACAGGAACAACAAAGATAGTTGGAAAACAAGCAGGACTGCAGCTCTCTAGGATCACTCCCTGGCAGCTTACCAAAAAGCTGTTAGATCAGCTATTTTGTCAACATCATTGAGAGGCATCGTGGTGATCAACGCAAGCTTTTCAGTACCATTAACTATGTTCTTTCACTAAAGGAATCCACTGCCCCCTCCACACCAACTATAGCACTGTGCACTGATTTTCAGAATTTTTTCCTGGAAAAAATCAGTACTTTTAGACTAAATCTGTTGGGACCTGTTACCCAGAAAGAGTCATTCTGTTCTCCTCCATTCTCTGATTTTGATCCTGTCTCCCTTCAAGATCTGGATAAATTAATCAAGTCCATGAAACCCTCAGGTTCCCCACTGGATGCTCTCCCCCCAATGCTGCTACTTGGGGTTCTACCAGTAGTGGGTCCTTTTATTCTGAGTATTTTAAATTACAGTTTGTCATCGGGAGTGTTTCCAGAATCCTTTAAGAAGGCGGTCGTCCAACCGCTATTGAAAAAACCTGGCCTGGATCAAAATGATTATGCAAGCTTCCATCCAATCTCCAAACTTCCTTTTTTTATCTAAGGTTATTGAAAAAGTGGTACATGCTCAACTCTCACATCATTTACTGGAACATTCACTACTTGACCATTTTCAGTCTGCTTTTAGGCCAAATCATAGCACAGAGTCTGCACATATTCGTGTGTTAAATGACAGAAACTGATGCTGGTTCCTTTATTCTATTACTACTGCTAGACCTATCAGCGGCATTTGATACAGTTGACCATGACATTGTGTTAACTAGGCTGAAATCTTTTGTTGGAGTCACAGGGACTGCGCTAAATTGGTTTCACTCCTATCTGTCTGACAGGTGCTTCAGCATACACATAGGTGATTGCTCTTCTCCTTTTGTCCCACTCCCCTGGGGAGTTCCCCAGGGCTCTATTCTAGGTCCACTCCTCTTTTCTATTTATATTCTTCCACCGGGAAACATCATTGCTAAACATGGCCTACATTATCATATATACGCTGATGACTGTCAAATTTACATGGCTTTAAATCAGTCAAGTTCCATTACACAGCTCTCGGAATGTCTCTCAGAAATTAAAACCTGGCTAGCTTCCAATTTCCTGAAGTTCAATGACAATAAGACCGAGGCCATTCTTTTCAAACCAACACATAATCTGCATACTTCTGCTGCCTTTGATCTCTCCCCCTAAACCTTAATTCATGTGTGACCAGCCTTGGGGTTAAACTGGATGTCGACTTGTCAATGAGTGCACATGTTAATGCCACTGTTCGATCCTGCTTCTTCCAGCTTTGTCGCCTTGCCCGACTGAAGCCCATTCTGAAGAGACCACACTTAGAATCAGTTATTCTTGCATTTATCACTTCCAGACTCGACTCTCCCAACTCAGTTCTAATTGGTGTAAATGCATCTGTCCTAAATCGTTTGCAGAAAGTCCAGAATGCTGCAGCCAGATTTCTTTCCAATGCAAATAAACGCTGTCACATCACTCCCATTCTGGCGGGTCTCCACTGGATTCCTGTGGAATTTCAAATTCAACACAAAGTTCTAACTTTTACCTACAAAGCCCTGAATGGTCTAGAACACCCCCCCCCCCCACCCCCCCCACCCCCCCCACCCCCCCGGTCACTAAGGTCTGCTGGACATCTATTGCTCAAAGTCCCTACAATGACGTATAAAGCTTGTCGGGAGCGTGCGTTCGCCTTTGCTGCTCCCAGACTCTGGAACGCGCTCCCTCTGGTGGTACGCCAGGCTTCTTCACTAGCACAGTTTAAATCCAGCCTGAAGACACATTTTTTTTTATTTAGCTTTTGGTCAATGATCGGTCTTTTATGCTGTGACTCTCTTCTGTTTTTACTGACTTCTGTTTTTATTGACTTCTCTTTTTGTTGGCTGTTTTAAACTTTTGTATTGATTTTAGGTGTTTCTATATTATGACAGTTTTTATCTGTGTTTAATGTGTATGTATGTGAATTTGAATGGCTTTTAGGTTTAACTCTGTGCAGTGCTTTGGTCAGCTGACATGCTGTTTTTAAATACGCTATATAAATAAAATTGGATTGGATTGGATCAGAATTGCCTACCCCTGCCCTGTTCAGTGACACTCTGAACCCAGAATCTCATCGTTTTCTTTGTTTCTATAGCCTAAACTACCTGTTCGTGGTTGAAATGTGGATGTCCTGAGATATTTTTACCTTTTAAAAAGATTTTTGACTTTCTCTATTTCTGTTTACGCTCTGCCAGCCCTAAGTGCTCCCAAAGGTCTTCATTTCACTGAAGTGACAGATTCTACAGCTCGAGTTCACTGGTCCAAACCAGATTTTGACATGGAGAAATACCGCATCACCTACGTGCCACAGGAAGGAGGTGAGAACTTAAAGATGTTGTGCTGCAAATTATCATTGACTTAACTCCTTGACAGCAAATCTGCTAAATCTATATTGTTTATTTCTTTGTCATCTACATCTTTAACAAGATTAGTACTTACTGTATGTTTTCCTGCTGTCTGATGGAGGGTCTAAGTACTACATGTGTCAATGTTCTTATTATTATTCAATTTTTGCATAACAAATGTTAATTACAAAGTACTGTTTGATGTAAAGTTACTGCATGTTCAAAATAATTGTCCAGGTAGGTTGAGTTCACCCTAAGGAAGCAGGAAACTTTAAAAGTAAACAATTTTAGCAGGGTCAGTTTCTACATTTCAGTCATTTCAGATAGGTTAGGGTTATATTTGTTGCCTACCAAACAAATGCAAAGTTAAGAGATCTTCTAACATCTCAGAGCCCCTCTGATGGTAAGGTTTAAAAAGTCGGTTCAACCATGAATCCTGTATTAATGTTCCTGTTAGATTTTCTCTCCATTAATGATCCAATATGGGAATATTCTCAATAAATCACTAAGGATTTATATAAATCTATTCACTCCATTTTTACTATAGGCCTGTTTTGATTTATTATAGTTTGGGTTATAACTGAAAAAATGCATTTATATTTGGATTTGAACAATTAAATGTAGAGTAGAGTGGAGTGGAGTAGAGTAGAGTAGAGTAGAATTAAATTTAGTAGAATATAATTGAATTGAATTTAATAGAGTAGTGTAGAATAGAAGATAGTAGTGTAGAGTGGAGTAGAATAAAATAGAGCAGAGTAAAATAGAATAGAATAGAGCAGAAGATATTAAAGTAGAATAGAATAAAGTAGAGTAGAGTAGAGTAGAGTGGAAGTGAATATAATAGAAAAGAGTAGAGTAGAATAGAATAGAATAGAATAGAGTAGAGTATAATATAATAGAGTAGATTAGTGTAGAGTAGAACAGAGTGGTGTAGACTGGAGTATAATAAAAGAGAATAGAATATAAGAGAGTAGAATGGAATATAACAGATTTGAATAGAATAGAGTAGAGTAGAGTGTAATAGAAAAGTGTACAGTAGAGTAAAATATATGAAAAAGAATATAATATTATAGAATTTAAGAGAGTAGAGTAGAGTAGAAGAGAGTATAATAGAAAAGAGCACAATAGAGTAGAGTAGAAGAGAGTATACTAGAAAAGAATAGTGTAAGGTAGAGTAGAAGAGAGTAGAATACAAAAGAGTAGAAGAGTAGAATAGAATAAAATATAAGAGAGTAGAGTAGAAGAGAGTAGAGTAAGTAGACGAGAGCATGATAGAATAGGGTAGAGTAGAGTATAATAGAAAATAGTAGAGTAGAAGACAGTATAATAGAAAAGAGTAGAGTAGAGTAGAGTATAATAGAAAATAGCAGAGTAGAGTAGAAGAGAGTATAATAGAAAATAATAATGTAGAGTATAATAGAAAGGAGTAGAGTAGAGTAGAGAAGAGTATAATAGAAAAGAGTAGAGTAGAGTAGAGAAGAGTAGATGACAGTATAATCGAAAAGAGTAGAGTATAATAGAAAAGAGTAGAGTAGAGTACAGTAGAGTAGAGTGGAGTAGAATATAATAGAAAAGAGCAGAGTAGAGTAGAGTAGAGTAGAAGAGAGTATAATAGAAAAGTGTAGAGTAGAGTAGAGTAGAGTAGAGTAGAGTAGAGTAGAGTAGAGTAGAGTAGAGTAGTCCGTTATTGTCGTAATACCCGCAGGAACAACTACATTGAGGGTGCTCCCTCTCCCATTAGCATATTGATATGGGTTCATAGGGGGGTGGCAGGATTCCTGGAATATTATTACCTCACTAACGTGTTTGTCCAGATAAACACTATAGTGTAACGTACAAAAGGGTCTATTTTTCACCATCCAACTGACCACAGTACAACCTTTCATCTATATGCATAAATCTACTTTCTGTTTGGATCTTCCAATTCCAGAAGGTTCTATTCAGTGCGTGTTTACATGCATGAAGACAAAACATCCAGATAAACATTCTCACCCAAGCTCTCCAGCACTCTCTGCGTGAAAGCCAAACGTTAACATTCTTCACTCTGAATAAGTGAAGACTCCATGATTTTAAAGTTATAAGTTAAATAATCACATGTGATGAATGAACAAGATGTTTAAATCAAATGTTTGAATGATCTGTGCTTAAACCAAATTAATTAGAAATCAATATTTGTTCTTACAATGATCCATTTATATCACAAATCACTGTGTGGTTGATTTAACAAGTTAATCGTTGTTTACACTCATACACATTACAATAAGTTAAATATTAAGGTTAATGTGCACCTCACATAAGAGTTTTGACCATTCTCATTCACAAAGTTTTAAAAACCTTTTGTGTCGGAAGGAAGGCGGGGCTTTCCGAGGGATGATGGTAAATACTCAGAAACGTGTCATTCTGATTTGCCAAACTTGGCCAGAAATCATGACAAAGTAGTTTAATAAAACAAGACTTACTTCCCGCTTAGTTTCTAGCTGACCCACAAAGCGGCCAAATCAGGAAAGAAGTCTTTTTGAAACCATCTTCTCCTTTGACCTCCTGTCAAAGCCTCTCTGCAACGCTGCGGCTGGTACCAGACAACCGGCTCCTGTAAGAGCCAAACAAACATCCACCTTAGATGCAAACTCATAATTAATTTCATAATTAAATTCATTTTATAAACTATATACCTAACTCTGTCTGAATTAATACGAAGTGTGTTTATGGTCCCTAAAAATGCAAAGAACCCTAAAATTCTCTGATTAAACATTCAAAGATCAATCTGATTGATATTTCATGTTTCTATGGAATCATCACATCTTATCGGTCATAATTAATATGTTTTAATTGCTACAACAGTATAAGTAGTTCTATAGAAAATCAGACCTAACAGGCTCACCATATTCGGCCCACAGAGACCATTTTCTATAAAAGATGTCTGGCTGCACTTTGAGAGAGAACGACAGTTTTTCCATTGTACCTGTCTCTCTTGCACATCATTGGACTTCACTGTACTCTGACTGTGGGAAGCAGCTCTTCTAATCTCCTGTCAACAAAACAAATGTGTGACTATTACCCACTTCAAAACAAGCAGACCTACGCCGCTGGGATTCTGTTCTACTTCACAGGAATCCCGTTGAGCATGATGGCAGATGGAAGCGTGTCGGAGATTCTCCTGATCAACATGTTGCCAGGGAAGGCCTACCACGTCACTGTGACTGCCCTGAAAGGTTTGGAGGAGAGCGAGCCCAGCTCCGGCTCCGTGACCACAGGTTGGACTTCCTCTGATTAAAACACTCTCCTCTGTGCTGTGACCTTTGAGTCGGGTCAAGCCTGTTCTGTTTATGCTGCCCAGCTTTGGACAGTCCGCGGGGTGTGACTGCAGCCAACATCAATGACACATCAGCTCTGTTGCTGTGGCAACCATGTGTAGCCACTGTCGAAGGCTACGTTATCACGTACAGCACAGACTCGGGTGCGTCTAAAGATCCAAGCTTCATCATTTGATGTGTAAACTTCTCTGATTGTGTGTTTTAACTTCTGTCTCAGCACCTCCGGTGATTGAGCATGTTTCTGGGAACACGGTGGAGTTTGAGATGAACTCCCTGCTTCCTGGATCTCTCTATAGAGTTGGAGTTCATGGTTTGAGAGAGACTCAGAAGAGCACCCCTGCTGTTACTGAATTCACCACAGGTAGTTCTGAAAAGGAGATCGCTCCACAACATAAGTCATGTCCAGCTGCTTTTCAGGACGCTACATTAGAAATGTGCTGCTGTGTTTCCAGATGTGGATCCGCCTCGTGACCTGAAAGCTGATAACGTTCAAACCGACAGCGCTGTTCTGACCTGGAAGCCACCTCATGCTGCCGTCACTGGCTACGCGCTTACCTTCTTCTCTGCTGGCGGTGCCATTAGAGTACGTCTGTATGGTTTCTGGTAAAAGATTGGGAAGCGAGATTAGATCTTGTTCCAAAGAACACTGTGGTGTTTGGAAGAAACTTCCACCTTCTTGTTATTGTTTAGCAAATGAGATGGTGATTGTAAGTCATTTCAGATGGTTATTTAGCTGATATTTTAGGAAGATCTAGTCATTCCATAATAGGTAACTATGGTGTTTGCAAAGGTAAGATCTTGAAGAACACAGATAACTTTTAAAATTGTATTTTAAATACACTTGTTTGCAAGATAAATCTCAATTCATCCATCCATCTATTTTTGGCCGCTTATCCTCAGTCAGGATGTGGGGTAAGCAAGCAGGGACGCCCAGACTTCCCTCTCCCCAACCACTTTGGCCAGCTCCTCTGGGAGACTCCTAAGGCATTCCCCGGCCAGCCTAGAGACACAGTCTCTCCAGCGTGTCCTGGATCTTTCTTTAGGCCTTCTCTCACTTGGACGTGCCCAAAAAACCTCACCGAGAAGGTGTCCAGGGGCATCCTAACTATATGCCTGAGCCGCCTCAACTGGCTCCTCTTGATGTGGAGGAGCAGTGCGTCTGCTCCGACTGAGCTTCTCATCCTATCTCTAACAGAGAGCCCAGATATCCTTCGGAGAAAACTCATTTTGGCCTCTTGTGTCCGCAATCTCATTCTTTGAGTCACTACCTAAAGCTCTTTACCATAGGTGAGGGTAGGAACGAAGATCAACCGGTAAATCGAGAGCTTTGCCTTCCAGCTCAGCTCTCTTTTCACCGCATCACTGCAGATGCAGCACCAATCCGCTTGTTGGTCCAGTGCTCCAGTTTTCCCTCACTTGTGAACAAGACCCCGAGATAGTTAAACTCCTCCACTTGGGGCAGGACCTAATTTCTGACCCGGAGAAGGCATTCTACCCTTTTCTGACTCAAGACCATGGCCTTGGATTTAGAGGAGCTGATTCTCATCCCAGCTGCTTCACACTCAGCTTCGGACCACTCCAGCTAAAGCTGGTACCCCATATTCCCGAAGCACTCCCCAAAGTGCCCCCCGATGGATGTGGTCAAACGCCTTCACCAAATCCACAAAACTCATGTAGATTAATTGGGCAAACTCCCGCACACCCTCCAGGACCCTACTAAGAGCCTGTATAGAGCTTGTCCAGTGTTCCACGGCCAGGATGAAAAACCACATTGTTCCTCCTGAATCCGACTTTCGACAACCCATTGGACCCTCTTCTCCAGAACCCCTGAATAGACCTCTTACAAGGGAGGCTCAGGAGTGTGATCTCCCTGTAGTTGGAACACATCCTGCCAATCCAGTGTAACTGCCCCTGATGTCCACATGATATTACAGAGCTGTGTCAGCCAACACAGCCCTACAACATCCAGAGCCTTAAGGAACTCTGGGCGGATCTCATCCACCCCTGGAGCCTTGCCACCGAGGAGCTTTTTGACCACCTAAGTCACCTCGGCCCCAGAGATTAGAGACCAAACCAAAGATAAATCTCAAGTACATGAAAATTCCCTCAATTATATATTGACCTGGCTTGTGAATAGCGATGGGTACCGAATTCAGTACTTTTTAAGGTACCGACCGAATTCCATAGTACCGACCGAGCACCGATTCACGTCATTTGAAACGGTGCCTCGTTTCGGTACCCGTCCTTCACAACGACAACTTGCCAAGACAGCTGCGCATGCGCAAGAGCATTACGTCATCGGTCGCAGCGAGCCAGTTGTAAACAGAGCAGCATGGTAGAAAAGAACGCACACTAAAGCTTGGGTCCACTTCACTAAATGTGATGGGTAGCTGGGTGATGATGAAACCAGCGACAACGATCTAAGCGAGACATCCTCATCTTAATCTGCTCCGGTAGGTAAATAAAATGTTTAAGATTATGTTAGCTTGATTTGTTAGCTTCCGTTCCGCTAATGGTGCATTCGTTTTCTCCTCGGAACTCCGAATTTCTGACTGGAAGAACATGAACGCGCTCTAAAGTTTGGCTTCACTTTACTAAATGCGACGGGTGATTGGGTGAAGATGAAACCAGCGACAATGATCTAAGTGTGAGGCATCATCGTTTTAATCTGCTCCAGCAGTTAAATAAACTGTTTAAGATAACGTTAGCTTGATAAATTAGCTTCCATTGCCACCATTGTTATCAGCTAATGGTGCGTTCGCTTTCTCCTCAGAAATTCTAACTTCCCAGTAGGAAAAATCAAATGAAAAAGGACGGCGAAAGGAATGACGATACACAGTAAATTTAGTTCACAGTAAAGATGTTTGCTTCAGTTTAATTATCAGCTTATAAAACTACAAGGACGATGTTAAAATACAAGCAGTTGTATGTTATTTATCGTGATATTTATCAAATATGGTTATATATTGAGAAAAATATATATTTAATTATAAAAGCGAATTAAAATGTTAAACACTCAAAAGTATCTAAAATTGGTACCGTTAAGTACCGGTAGTTCCTAGGTAGTGGGAATTAGTACCGAATTGATTATAATGTCAAAGGTACCCATCCCTACAGTTGTGAATGATAGGCCTTACAACACTTAATATGTTTCCGCCTTCCTCCTCCTACTTGTTGAAAGCAGAATTACAACTGTCCTAAACAACCCTACTGTTGCCTGCCGTAGCTAGTGCTAATAACAAGATAATGCTAACATGAGACAACTGATACTAATTAAGCCATGAAGTCAAAAGATCAACACTGTTGGACAAACAAACATTATTACTTACAAGTCCCAAAGCATTAAACCAGTCCATGATAGCCTAAAACTAGTGTAGGCCATGCCGACGTTCACTCTGGCTTTAGAGCTTTGCTTCGCCCCAAAGACATTACTCTCTTACTTTTATTTCCAGGCTCTGCCATGATGCCAACGAAAAAGAGCTAACTTCTTCTTCCTCTTGTGCTTTTTATTGGCATTGGGCAAACTGACAAAGCTAACTGATAGCCTTTATATTAGCTAGCAGCACAGTAAACAGCTGTTGCTGTAAAGCAGGTAGAAGCCTCATGCTACTGTTCCTACCCAAACCACAAAACTCTAAAGTGTAGTTTCTGGTCAGCAGACGGCTAAAGAGTGCTTTCCCATTTAAAGTTGCTCAAGTGTGTGGTTCAAGAACCACAGAAAATAAGTCAAAAGCAATAATTTAAAGTGTTAGAAACTCCTTAGTGTTGTGCTGCAGGGAATTGTGGATGGTTTGAACTGTTGTTATTTGGTGCATGCAGGAGGTAACGTTGAGCCCAACAGCATCGTCGTACACCATGTCTCAGCTGACCGCTTCCACAGAGTACAACGTCCGCCTGCAGGCCATCGCTGCGGCCAAGCGGAGCCGCTACGTAACCACCACATTTTCCACCAGTAAAGGTAAAAACAAACACTTTCTGGTGTTTTTCACTAAAAATTAACTTTACTCGGGCTTTGTCCCCGCTCCAGGCTCTGATGCTTGATTAGACAACAGCCCAGATGTTCTTCTAATGAAAATTCCTTTCATTCAATTGAATATTCCAAACTGATCACCCAGACTTTTTTTATTCTGAGCTGCTCGGATGGAATTTCCCAAAGTCGTTCTCTATAACGTGGTGGTTATTTTAGACAACAAAAATGGAAATTGGCTTCTGTATGTTTGATGGATTGATGTCTTTTTAACATGTGTGTCTTAGCTGGACAGGTGTTTGCGTGGCCCTGGGACTGTGCTCAGATTTTACTGAACGGAGAGACGGCCTCTGGTTTGTACACCATCTACATAGGAGGGGAGGATACCCAGCCTCTTCAGGTTTACTGTGACATGACCACAGACGGTGGTGGATGGATAGTAAGGATGCAGCTTTACGCCACAGATCTCATTAAGCTGGAATCTGTCGAACTGTTGTGACAAAGTTGGCACTCCTCAGGTTTTCCTCAGACGGCAAAATGGAAAGCTGGAATTCTTCAGGAACTGGAAGAGCTACACAGCTGGCTTTGGAAACATGAATGATGAGTTCTGGCTGGGTAGGAGATTTCCCCCCGTTAGCATTCCTTATTATTTTTTTCTCCCTCATACCAATTCTGACTCTAAACCCGACCTATAGGTCTCTCCAATCTCCACAAAATCACATCTTCGGGACAATATGAGCTGAGAGTGGACCTGAGAGACAAAGGGGAGTCGGCCTATGCTCAGTATGATAGGTTCACCATTGCAGAGCCAAGAACACGCTACAAGCTCTACTTAGGAGCATACGATGGGACAGCAGGTGAGAACGGGTTGAAAGGATGTTAAACTATTTATTTAATTCACGTAAAGCAAAGTAAGCCTGGACATTATTAAGAACTGTAAACTGGGCTCAATCAAAATGACTAAATTAAGTTTTCAGGGAGAATTTAGAACTCAGGCTGTAGTTTCATTTCCGAACATTTTCTTCATCCATCTTTTTGTCCTGGTGGAAATCATAAACAATATTAGAGAAAATGGGCTGATGAACTGATAAGTTTTGGAGCTGTGGCTGCTGAAGGTGGACTTCAGTACCTCGGTCTGCACAGAGGCATTCTGGGTAAATCTCAGAACTTAGTGATGAGGACCTTGGGGGTTTCCATAACGCTTAAACGTAGATCCATTTATGGCTAAATAAAACTATCAGGAATAAACTACATGAAATACATGGAATTTTTACATGCTAAGTATAGTTTATATAAACTGGAGGATTCAGCAGGGGCTCATCTTGACCCAAAGCGTACTGGAACCACAAGGAACCGATGCTTCTTTCAAGCAGAAAATGTATTATTTTAAGCTCTTTAGTCTTTTCTGCTTTTTCACTGAGTCCAAATGTAAAATATAAAACCAATGATGAGTAAAACATCACTTCTGCAGTTATGTGTAAACAAACAACCATAAATAGCATTTGCCAGTGTTCCATATTCTACTAGAAGTGAATGATACCTTTGTAATCTTGTTTTAAAGAAAAAAAACAATAGAGCAAACCCAACTTTAAAGGGATACTTAGAAACTTTTTCATATGTTTTAATCTTTTTTTGGGCCAGGATGCACTAAAGTGAACCTTTACAGGGTTAATGAAATGTCAGAGCCCAACCGACCTCTGCGGCCAGACTACTGCATTTGCAACTTCAGAGTGCCGGTCTGGTCTTTTGGACTTGAGCTGACATATCTGGCGCTGCAGTCTGGTTCCAGCACCTTTCTTGCATGTTTTAGATCATGAACACGGCTGATTTGGTAATGATACACTACTGGAGACACTGAGGAAGTCTGGTAGACATTTTAGCTTTCAGATGAAGGTGTTTTGCTTTTAGTTCTACTAAACGGACACTAGGTGGTGCTAAAAGCAAGCCGAAAACTGCATAGTCTCCCTTTAACCCTGGATTGAACACACAGTGAATGTGTTGAACTAACCCTGAAGACAAGCGAATGACTGGAATAAAGTCTTGTAATCTTCAATTTTTTATTTTATATTTTAAAAATGGAAACATTTCTTAGACTTGGAGGACAAATTAATTACCGCACAGATTTGCCTGAAATGCACAAAACCATTTTATTTCTTGTTCTCGGTGATTTTGCGCATCCCTGGCACCGGCTTCTTCTCAAAGAAAAAAGCCTTAATTAAATGCAAACATGCCCATCAGTTTGAGACGGTAAATAGTTGAACACAGAAGGGTTTTCTTTTAATTTTGTGCTCAATAGCTCATTTGTTTGTGGGCAAACTGCATCAGTGTAGAGAAACGCAGCTTTGTTGAGAGTAAAGATGCATCAGAAGTTCTTTTATGAGGGTGATTGAGACAGAGATGCAAAACCCTAATTTGCACCCACAGACAACGTGCAGTCTTCCACAAGACAAACATGCTCATGATCACTTACCGTCCAAGTCGTGACGAAAAAATGTCCCAGTCTGTTAGAACCATTCTGCAAGTCGTCTCTGCAACAAGCTGAAGAACTCTGGAGACGATAATCACACTTAATGTGTTCACCAGGTGACTCAATGACTTACCACAATGGTCGGCCCTTCTCCACCTACGACAACGATAACGATATCGCCGTGACAAACTGCGCCCTGTCCTACAAAGGGGCTTTTTGGTATAAAAACTGTCATCGGGTCAACCTGATGGGGAAATATGGGGACAACAGCCATAGTAAGGTATGTTTTCACAGAATCCTGGAGTTTTTCTCCTTAAACACGTTTTTCTTTTATCCTTGGTACTTTAGGTTGCAGAGCTGCATTCATGCTTAATTTCACATATTGTCTGTATTTTCTCCAAACATTAGGCCCACTGGTCCTTTTATGGCGCTTTCACATCTGGGTCGGCACAGACCCGCCCTGGTAGGGTATATTGTGTTCACATCTGGGTAGCGTGTGTGTTTTCCATGCTCAACCAACCAATTTTTCAGCAGTGGCGTGTCCAAGCTTTTTAAAATGGGGTGGCCCAGGTGGGGCACTTGTTTATGCATGAGTGGCCCCTATGGTTGTTGTATTGTAACCCTAAGCATTTTGTGGAGAATGTAAAGTCGATTTATATGGAACTTGGTGGGGTGGCACCTGGGATTTCAAGGGTGGCATTTGCTACCCCAGGGCACTTCCTGGACACGCCCCTGTTTTTCAGACACCCTACCCCAGCAGTCCGAGCTGAACTGACACTACTCTCACTGCCGACTGATTGGCCGACTGAAACTCATGCCTACCTTTAGGCGGAGCCTCTGACTGGCAGGTAAAATTGGCCAGCAGCGACTTCCCGCATGTGCAATTCATTATCAGTCTAGAAGCTGGGGAGTAAACGTCTCTGACAGCTGCTCGGAGCTACTACTCCAGCCGTGGTGGGGTGAGGACAGACTGCTTTGAAGGGCACACAGCAGTCTCAATGAGAGAGAGCAGGAAGCAGTATCAGAGTTTCCAAAAGCAGCACTGCTCACATTCGTTTGCTAACTTGAGGAGGACACCACAGACCTCTCTGCACGTCTTTTGCTCCATCCACACGTTCGAAGATTGGTGTGAGTGTGTGAACAAAACCTACCGAAAGCAGGCTGGGCTGGGCCAGATGTGAATCTGCCATTACATTAACTCAAAAATGGCTTTAATTAAAAGTAAAATATTTAAACAATTATGCTGCTTTATTAAAAAAGAAAACCAACCCCAAAGTTCTCCTGAGCGGCATTACCAAGCATCTATTCATTCTGAAAAGCAGGTCTTTCTTTGGCGGTTGACTTGTTTTTCCTCTTTGTGTTTTATTTTTAACTTCCATAGGGAATTAACTGGTTCCACTGGAAAGGTCACGAACACTCAATCCAATTTGCAGAAATGAAGATTAGACCATCCAACTTCAAAAACTTTGAGAGCCGAAAGAAACAATCGTAGAGCCCCGGTCGCCCTCTGCTCCTGCACCTCGCCTCCACTCGCCCGACGCTCCTCGCTTTGTAAAAACCACCTCTCTATAAAACACCCGAAACAAAGGCAGGACCACTGACTGGAAATCGGTTCTGGTTCTGACTGAAGAACCTGCTAACACAACACCAAAGAATCAACAGAGCGTTAGCAGTGTGCTCACAGCTGTCCCCACATGGCGTTGTTCTGTGATTGTGTTTCAACAAAGGTAGATGATCATTTGCTCTAGGTTGTAGTTTTTCTGCTTGTTTGTTTTTGTTGGGGGGGGGCTGATGTGTAAATTTTTTGTGTTAAAGGAGATCCAACCTGTCAGACACATCCTCAACCAAATCTGAAGGATGGAATTTGTTACAATAAAATGTGACCGGCCTGAATAAAAGTAACATTTAAAGTCTATGGTTAAAAAAAATTAACCAGTTTTCTCACTGTTCATATTTAAAAACTGATTTTGTTTTTAGAAAATCAACACAAATAAAACACCTGTTGCTCTGTAATCCCCATTTCAAATAAAAATGATTTGATACCTGGAATTTTACTACTGAGCAGTTTGTGTTTCCTCCACCAGATGGCAGTGTTTGTGTGATGTTCGGTTACTTTAAGTGTGGGAGGATTTCTGCACATCAGCACATGGTGGCTCCCATCTCCTATTCAGGCTGTTAACACCACTTAAAGAATTTAAAAGCACAGAAATTATTTTTTAATCTGAAGGTCTGCAGCAGCCATAGACGGTTAGTCGATTATTGATGCTAAGATGTGCATTTTAGATAAATTGTTTCCAATTATAAAGATCTAGGTCACATAAATTTATCAGCTGAAGTAGAAATTATTAACTACTGCTGGAGAAGTAATCCTGTAGCATGTGATACTTAGAAATTCCCAGATTTAGTCGGACCTTTCCTCTAGATAGAACATCGTTCATGCCATTTTAATGCAGGAGGACCTTCAGTAATTAATGCTGCAGGTTCTCGTCGCCATTACAAAGTTTAAAGTTCACTTATCTACATTTTGCAACGGGAGCATCTTTTTGTGCAAGCCACACGAGGTTTGCACGATCAATGCCTTTTCTACAGATGTCATCAGATTCCCTCTTCAGTAAATCAAAGGGATGTTTGCCAACCTGTACAAATCAGCCATTGTGACAATGTTTGGTTAAAATGATTGATCTGTGTCCTACTTCATGTTGAAATGAGGCTTATCAGGCTTTCAGCATCAGGTAGGTGACAGAGGTCAGACCATCTGGTGAACTGGTGCACTTTTTAATCCTTCTGGGTTCGCTTTAACGGAACATTTTGACATCCTACATCCGATCCTCCAAGAGAACTCTGGATGTTTACTTCTGAGTACTAGTGGTGGTTCTCGGCCTTCGTGTGTTCAGAGAACGCCGGCGCTCAGCTGTTGAGGGGTTAGGTTGGTGGAACATTGTGTTTGGATATGACAAAGACGAATGACGAGACACCGTCTGCCAGAATGGAGCTGGGGATGTTCCAAAATCATTTCAAGGAGCAGAAATATCTTCTGACCTAGATTTCTATCAATGTTTCAAAATAAGGTTCCTGTGAGTAGAGTCCCTCTAACGGAACTCTACGGAGTTCCCAAGCACATCTTATCCCTCTCAATCTAGGAACTTTGCACCATTATTCCAGAAGCAGGACATTAAGAGTATGTTTATGTATTTAGCAGACGCTTTTGTCCAAAGCGACTTACAAGTGATAATCGGCATGTTGCCCTTGAGGTTAACAACAACAATAATAACAATAACAACTTGACATCAATCATGGAGAGGAGGGAGCAAGAAATAGACAGTAGAGAGGGGGACGGGTGCAGGGAAGGTGCTAGTTAAGAAGATGCTCTCTGAAGAGCAGGGTCTCCAGGAGTTTCTTGAAAATTGAAAAGGAAGCCGCAGTTCTGGTAGTGCTTGGAAGGTCATTCCACATTTGTGGAACGATGCATGAGAAGAGTCTGGATTGTCCTGAGCGTGGTGTAGGCACTGCTAGCCGACGATCCTGTGATGACTGGAGCGGCCGGGCCGAGACGTAAGCCTTTGCAAGAGGATTCAGGTAGATGGGAGACGTACCATCTCGGACTTTGTATGCTAGTGTTAGCAATTTGAATTTGATGCGTGCTGCTAGCGGTAGCCAGTGGAGCTCAACTCAATCAACAGAGGGGTGGTGTGTGCTTAAACATCTATGATTTCACCAAATGCGAGATGGGAAGCTAAAGCATGTGCGTACATTTATATGATGTTGACAGCCACCCCAACCCAAGACACCCAAACTATCACTCCACCCAGGAATTCTGCTACACCAGTAAAGAACCAAAACATTCTCACCCATTAACGGCAATGTGAACCAGAACGGTTCTCCGGTTCCTAAACGCCGTTCTTCCCATGTGTCCAGGGCATCGCGGGGGACATTTTTCAGCTTCACGCCTAAAAAGGAAATCTTTGTAAATCTGAGCAGCTAACTGTTCACCTGACTGGTTTCTAAAAACAAGAATTTTAAGTCTTTAATCAGAAGCTAAAGTTTTTCCCCGTTTACTCCGCTAACAGGTTACTTTTAGGATGAGGGTCGCCCAATCAGTTCTTTTGTGTTCTTTTCTCTTATTTCAAGGAAATAAGCCAGACTATAGTTCAGTTTTATCATTTGTTTGTTTTACTAAGAACATTTCAATTTCTCATAGCTGTATACCTGATGTTCCTGCCTCTTTATCTCTTTTCCCAGTAAATAGCAAGATTAAGTGTTGTTGGAATAGTATCTGTTTTCTTTTACTATAGTTTAGAGATGGGTCCTTTTCATGTATCGCCATTTTACTTAAGCTATGTCAGAACATTTTAAGCATTTCAAATTATGTTAAAGCCATTTCTCTACAGGAAACATGTTAAATGTGTCAGCAGTCCAGGGTTGTTGGGTTTATCTGTAATCTGTTCGGATTCAGCTCTTCATGCCCAGATTAAAGCTCCTGCTAATGACCTTTGTTCTGTTTTAGTTTGTCTTTAAAATACTTTAGCTCCTGTTTTTCCAAACTGATAGTTCAGATCCTTTGAAGTGGGATTCTGTGAAAAGATTGTGAACAATTCAAATTGTTCCTGATGCAGAAAGCTCAATGAAAGGCCTCAGTTTGAAGAAACAGAGATTAGCTCTGGCCAGACTGACAATACCATCCAGAAAGATGTCTGCCATCATGAAAGCTCCAGTTCTAAAGAATGCACTCATGTGAATGCTATTCATCGACCCTGGCAAAGTTCCAATCATCACGTTTATCTGCATAGACTCTTATGGTTGTTTATCAGTACAGATAGCAGCGTCCGAGGCTCACTGAAGAACTTTTAAAGCATTCTTAGTCAGTTCTGAAACTATTATTGCTTGAAAAATCATGATGTCCAATTAACCTAAAAAGTTTAAGCCATAAGAGATTCCTGCGCCCCAAGGCTGACTGTAGGATGAGCTTTAAAGCCAAAAATCCAGGCTTTTTTGTCAGAGGGCACCATCTAGAGGCAGGAATTGGTTATTGCATCTTCAAGAGAACCCTCCATTTTCAGCTGCTTATCCAGAGTCAGGTCGCGGGGCAACAGCCTAAGCCGAGACGCCCAGACTTCCCTCTCCCCAGATATTTGGGCCAGCTCTTTCGGGGGAATCCCAAGGCTTTCCCTGGCCAGGTGAGAGACTTAGTCCCTTCAACGTGTCCTGGGTCTTACCTTGGGTCTCCGCCTTGTTGGACGTGCCTAGAAAACCTCACCAGGGAGGCGTCAAGGAGGCATCCTGACCAGATGCCCGAGCCACCTCAACTGGCTCCTCTCGATGTGGAGGAGCAGCGGATTTACTCCAAGCACTTCCCGGATGACTGAGCTTCTCACCCTATCTCCAAGGGAGAGCCCAGCCACCCTGCAGAAAAAAACTCATTTCGGCTGCTTGTATCCACCATTTCATTCTTTCGGTCACTACCCAAAGCTCGTGACCTTAGCTATCTCTTCACCACGACTAGGGATGGGTACCAAATTCGGTACTTTTTAAGGTACCGACCGAATTCCTTAGTACCGACCGAGCACCGATTCACGTTATTTCAAACGGTGCCTCGTTTCGGTACCCGTCCTTCACAACGGGAACTTGCCGAGACAGCTGCGCATGCGCAAGAGCGTTACGTCGTCGCTCGCTGCGAGCCAGTTGTAAACAGCAGCATGGTAGAAAGAACGCACGCTAACGCTTGGGTCCACTTCACTAAATGTGATGGGTAACTGGGTGATGATGAAACCAGCGACAACAATCTAAGTGAGACATCCTCATCTTAATCTGTTCTGGTAGGTAAATAAAATGTTTAAGATAACGTTAGCTTGATATGTTAGCTTCCGTTTCACTAATGGTGCGTTTGCTTTCTCCTAAGAACTCCGAATTACCGACTAGAAGAACATGAACATGCTCTAAAGTTTGGCCTCACTTTACAACGATCTAAGTGTGAGGCATCATCGTTTTAATCTGCTCCAGCAGTTAAATAAACAGTTTAAGATAACGTAGCTTGATATGTTACCTTCCATTGCCACCGTTGTTATCAGCTAATGGTGCGTTCGCTTTCTCCTCGGAAATTCTAACTTCTCAGTAGGAAAAATCAAATGAGAAAAGACGGCAAAAGGAATGAAGATACACAGTAAATTTAGTTCACAGTAAAGATGTTTGCTTCAGTTTAATTATCAGCTTATAAAACTACAAGGACGATGTTAAAATACAAGCAGTTGAATGTTATTTATCGTGATATTTAGCAAATATTGTTATATATTGAGAAAAAAATATATTTAATTATAAAAGAGAATTAAAATAATAAACACTCAAAAGTATCGAAAATTGGTACTTTTTAAGTATCGGTATTGATTCCTAGGTACCGGGAATTAGTACCGAATCGATTCAAATGTCAAAGGTACCCATCCCTAACCACGACAGACCGGTATAACGCCCGCATCACAGCAGACGCAGCACCAATCCGCCTGTTGATCTAATGCTCCAGTTTTCCCTCACTCGTAAACAAGACCCCGAGATACTTAAACTCCTCCACTTGAGGCAGGACCTCATCCCTGGCCCAGAGAAGCATTCTACCCTTTTCCGATTTAAGACCATGGTCTCGGATTTAAAGGAGCTGATTCTCACCCCAGCTGCTTCACACTCGGCTGCGAACCGCTCCAGCGAAAGCTGGAGATCACTGTCCGATGAAGACATAGACGAAGATATAGACAAAAAGTAAAACAGGGTGGCCTTGAAAACTGAATATTTGTCTAATTTATCCACGTAAATCCTTAATTAGCTGTTAAATTTTTTTTTTTTCATTTTAATCATCAAAGCTTTAAACAAAGCCTTGTGTTTTGGGTCACATAGACACACACACACACACACACACACACACACACACACACACACACACACACACACACACACACACACACACACACACACACACGCGCGCGCGCGCGCGCCTAGGGAAAATTCAGGTCTGCCAATCAAGCTGAAATACAAATTTTTGTTCTGTGGGTAAAAAACAGAGTACCTGGAGTAA